CCGCCTAACGCCCGAGCTGTTGCTCCGCCTAACTCCTGACCTGTGCTCGCCTCACGCCCGACATGTTGCTCCACCTCACGCCCAGCCTGTTGATCGGTGGACGGGTAAGCGCGCATGGCATCGGAAGGAGCTCGAAAAGTATAAGGTAACTAATGAAACTAACGTGAAGCATGTTTGATGACCACTTTATAAACACAACACCTAGGATAATTTAGGAGCTTTTTATTGTAATAAAATACCTTTTGAATGACACAGATTTTTATGTTGGCTAGGTGATGACAGTAAGTAACGTTACTGTGATTTGTGATCTTTCTGGGGTGTTAACTGTAAAGCAGTAAGTAGTATTTTTACTATTGTATTTCTTAAGTTTGTTCATGGATTTTTGTGACAATACTTTGATGCATAAGTGTTGAATTCAGCTTCTAACAATGTTTTTTTTTTATCAAAATATATACAATAATTGTCCTGCTCTGCATGTACATTTTGTTTAGCTGTACATCTGTACATTGAATAGCAAATGTTATTAATTTACTATGAGCATTTTACATTCTAGACGTGATTTGAGCTATCTTTAATTAATCCTGTATGTAAGGGTCGTTTCATGCTAACGGAAATGTCTGAGCTAAGACTAATTCCAACCTAATCATCTTCGACTGCAAAAAGAAAAAGTTTGACCACCGTTTTATGTGACACCCTGGATAATTATTATCATTTAGGAGTATTTTTGTGATATAGTGACTTTTGGCTAACATGATCTTTTTTTACTTAATTTTGCTTAAACGCTTTTATCTGTTATTCTTTTTCAGATGGATAATTGCGTGAAAATCAAACTAAAAGAATGCAATCTTGAGGAGTTAATCCCCACATTTGAAGGTATGTAATAATATTTTACTTGGTTCATTGTAATCATTAGGGCTGCCCTTGTCTAAACATTTGTCTGGTTGACTTGTGATGTTCATTTGAAGCATTAGTTGAATAATTACAGATTTATTAATAAACCATTTATTCATTAATTCATTTTCTTTTTGACTCAGTCCCTTTATTAATCTGGGGTCGCCACAGCGGAATGAACCGCCAACTTATCCAGCATATTTTTTACACAGCGGATTCATGCAGCATACATTGACTTTGCCAGTGTGGACTTTTTTTCTGCAACTAGTGGGTAGCACATTCGCCTCATAGCAACAAGGTCACTTGATCGATCCTTGGCTGGGTCAATAGGCCTTTCTGTGTGGAGTTTGCATGTTCTCCCCGTGTTCGCGTGGGTTTCCTCCAGGTGCCCCGGTTTCCAAAGACGTGGTAAAGGTGAATTAAGTAGACTAAATTGTCAATGGTGTATGTGTGTGAATGAGTATTTGTTTCCCAGTGATGGGTTGCAGCTGAAAGGGCATTCGCTGCATAAAACTTATGCTGGATATGTTGGTGGTTCATTCCATTGTGGTTACCCCAGATTAATAAAGCGACAAAGCTAAAAAGAAAATGAATGAATGAATGAATAATAAATTTTTAGTTGACTAATGGTTATTCAATTATTAGGGGGCAGCCCTAGTAATCATTAGCCACTTCAACACTTTAAACTGAGAGATTGAACTCTAATGCCAATTTGTTTTTGTCTGGTTATTTTTTAAAATCTGCTGTTCATGCAACCAGTGACATTCTCTTGTTTTATTTTTAGCACAGGAGCGAACCTTTCCTCGTTTTTAGGTCAATTTGAATACAATTCAGAGGGTAAGGATTCAATTAAAGGTTTCTCAATGCATAATGATGCATTTAATGCATAATGATTGTCTTAGTTATTTTATTAACAATCAAAATGTTATTTTTATGTTTGTTATTAGGGTGGCATGGGGGCGCAGTGGGTAGTGCTGTCGCCTCACAGCAAGATGGTCGCTGGTTTGAGCCTTGGATGGGTTTCCCCTCCACAGTCCAATGACATGCGGTGTAGCTGAATTGGGTAAGCTGAATTGTCCATAGTGTGTGTGTAAATGAGAGTGTGATGGGTTGCAGTTGAAAGGGCATCTGCTGCGTAAAACATAAAAAGATGTCACCCAAGATGTTCATGTCATTCTTTCTTCAGTCAGAAAGATTTTTTTTTTAGGAAAATATTTCAGCAATTTTATCCATCTTGGACTGAGATTGTGCCTCATTTTTGAAGTTTTTAAAGAAAATTTAAATGCGGCTTCAAATTATACAAATACGGTTGCAAACAGTCCCAGCTCAGGAAGAAGGGTCTTATCTATTCTCATTAAGAAAACACAATTAAATACTTAATAATTTCAAATGCTCATCTTGCCTTACTATTACTTATTAAAAAAAGTTCCTTAGGCAAACCTGTTGTTGCATTGTCATCTTCACTCGGGCCAAAAAATTGCAGCATGGTGCCATGGTCAGTGGTTAACTAATGCCAACACTGGCTGATAGCTTGGTGTGTTATGGCCTTAATTGCTTCTAAAGGTATTTTAGGTGTTCTAAAGTTAACTCTAAAGATATTTAACTTTTACACTTTTGAGTTTTTAATAAATCTTACTTCTATTTATTTTTTCAGATTGGGACCAATATTGCTGAGTATCTTCATCCATTGAATTCAAGAATCTATTGAGTTTCCTCATGTTCTCATCCTTGGAGACCACCACTTCTTTCAAGCCTTTGCTCACGTGCTGTGCTATTTATTATTGCAAAGTACATTACTTGCCAAAGTGGACGTTTGCTATAAAGCATTCTACATCTTTGGTGTGAACTACCCCAAGCAGTGTTCCCTGGTGTGGCAGACTGTGGTTTATGGACATCCTGGGGAGGAGACACTAGCAGTAAGGGTTCTGCTAGCATTAATTTTTGCTGACAAACAGTAATAATTAATACTGTGACCTCACTGCTTCCTTGGATTCTGTGTTCTTTACTTGTACTTTGGATTGTGGGGGAAAAGGAGCACCCAGAGAAAACCCACACGAACACGGGGAAAACATGCAAACTCCACACAGAAACACCAACTGACCCAGCTGAGGCTTAAACCACCGACCTTGTTGCTGTGAGGCAATCGTACTACCCACTGTGCCACCATGACACCCATTTCTAAAGAATAGTTTTAATAACTCATTTCTAATAACTGATTTCTTTTCTCTTTGCTATGATGACGGCACATAATAATGGACTCGATATTTTTTAAGACACTCTACACTGCAGTTACATTGCAACTAATGTTTCTTACAGACTCTTTTATATCTCAGGATTGATGTTTGCACATGATTGTTCGAGTAAAAGTTAAAAAAAGTTTTCCTATTTCAAATTTGTTTTAAAATGCTTCCATCCTCAGGTTTCATTTTAACTTTTATATCTGTTTTTTCTTCAAAACTGCATTTACATTGAACTTGATCATCCTTACTGATGATTGCTTTATATCTCATATATTGATGTTTGCACATAATTGTTAAAGGGAAAGTTATAAAATGTTTTCTTATTTTTTCTTAATATAAAATTTGTATTTTCTTAGTTTTTATTGTTTGTTTTGTTTTTTCAAGCTGTTTGATGCCTTTTCATTATTACTTTCACATATTTTTTTCTGCATTGCAGTTGATGATTTATATGAGAATATGTTGATGTTTGTGCTCAAATTACTTTCTGACTTCAGTCATTTAGATGCATTTTCATTATTACTTCCTTATACTATTGTTTTTCTCTACTCTGCAATAACATTGCAATTGACTTACTGATGATTCCTGATTTATAAATGATGCAAATGTTTTTGAATGTATTTCAAATATGCATTTTCTTAAGGTAATTTGTCTGATTTCAGTCTGATGCATTGTTACTGAACTTTAGTCAGTGTTTCTGTGATACAGTTTGATAAATTTTCACAGAAATCGTCTTAACCCTTTAACAACCCTTTCAAGAAAAAAAAATTGGATTGCATTTCTCAACTGCTAATGTCGCTATTGAACACAATCAGTACATTTTAACACATGTTATAATTTCTAAAATATCAACCTCTACCAAATGATTGATATGTATGTTTATGGTAAAAGTACCAGAATTATGAAAAATCTGAAAAATTATGTGTAAGACCAATTAAAAAAAAATATATATATATATATATATATATTTTTATATGTATATAAACATTTTGAACACTAAATCATCTTTTTTCTTATGACTTTAACAGTCATTATTTAAAACAGTAAAAACAAGGTCAACCATTTGGTAGAGCAGGCAGTCAAAGGGTTAATGCTGAGGTGCAGATGGGAAAAATCTCAAATTCATTTGGACACATTTTATCTTTTGTCATAAATAAAATTCCATTACTGAACAACTATGTATTGCTGTAGAATTGTTTTTATTTTAGTGATTTTAATCATCAGTTTCTAGATTAAATTTCTGACCCATTTTGGGTTACATTCAACCCAGCAGTGTAGTAATTTTTAACTAATAGTTGGGTTAAAATCACAACCCAGCATGCTGGGTTAAACTTGTAACCCAACTTGCTGGGTTAAAGTAACCCAGCGTTGGGTTTGTCCCTTTTTTACCCAGCGCTGGGTTACCAAAACAACCCAAATTGGGTTGTTTTCAACCCAGCAGTTTTTAGAGTGCATGAAGGGAGTCAAAGACATGGCTCATATCAGGTTACATGTCCATAGGAGCAATGCTGGACTTATTGGAGATTTATCTATGGACAGTACACACATGATTGCCAAAGATTAACTAAACGATTTCTGATGTGCTTTCAGTATTTCCATGGCGTGTTTAAATAACATCAGGGCTCATTCAAGAGCAGTCTGTTGGTTATTGCGGGTGAGCATGGTCTTCTGTGTGATCTGACAGTGAAATGTTTAATTAATTATAAATGGACCGTGCCTCTAAAAGTCAACTGAACAAACAGAACTGGTTTGGGTAAATACTAATTGACTGCAAAACATAATGAGAAATCTCATGACCAGGGCATTCGAGAGGGTTCTTTCTTGTCCCATCTATTTTAGATTGCTCCGTCTTAATCCTATTAGCAGACACTCAGCTGCAGTGCTTAGTAAGAGGTTTACAAAAGCTCCCTCTTGCTCGATTCTTTTCAAACACCCTGATCTCTGTTATAAAGCTAGCTATATTCTTTTGTGCTGATTTGTTTTATATTGCAGATGTCATTCAGATCTTCCGCAGAAAAGCCTAGTTTATAATCCTGACCTTGAAGTGTTGTTTGTATGGATTATTTTTGAAAAGACCAGATCTGACAATGGCAGTGAATCAACTAGAAGATGTAATTCAAAAATGGGTGAGGAAAATTAACTATTCGGTTTTATTTGTGTTTGTATTTATATGTAGTTAGACTTGATTATAATAGACTTGGTTATATATAATCATATATCTCATACCATTTATGTATATATCCCAATATGTATAACTTGTAATATTAGGGTAATATTATCTGGATTTTTTGTATATTTTTGTTTGTATTTGGAACCTAATTCAACATGTTTTTTTCTGTTTGTAAATCAATGACATAAAATCTATCCATGCTTTTAGAGAACAATTGAAGAGTTTAAACCAGAAGACCATGAACTCTTTCTAAATGCTGGCCATACTTGCATTGCCCAAGGTGATGGCACTCTACTACTGAACTTCATAAAAGACGAGGCAAATAAGGTAAACTTTAAAGGAATAACATTTATTTTTTTAACCAAAATGTAATCCTGTCATCATTTACTTACTCTCATGTCACTTTAAACCAGAAAGACCTCATCATCAGAACATAAATAATGAATCAAATGTGAGATTCTCTGTCTCAACTAAATGTTTTTCTCCTAAAACCGTGAAGCTTGAAAACATTCATAAAGAGATCAAAAAATAAATCTGAAGATACATGATTGCTGTAAATGATGAACAATTTTAATTTAGGATTTTGCTCAAATGTAAAGACTGATCAATGAACATATACAAAAGCTCAACAATACCTGGTTGGCATGCAAGAAGAAAACATGCTGGTTCTTACTGAAGTTAAACATGCTGGTGTAAAACAAAAGCATGAACCTCAGGTTTTTGAATGAATCAAAGTTGAGCTTCTGTGGACATATCTTTTTAAACAAATGCTGTACAATGTTTTTTCATTGAGTATTTATATATTATTAAAAACCTACATTAAATGTGTTCATCATATAAAGTGCTATTCACAAGAACTGGATTAAAACTCTTAAAGTTCTGATTTGTAGTGATGAAAACTTTTAAATCGAGGTCAAATCTCTGATTTGTGATTAAAATGTAGTTAATTTGTGTTCTGAAAATGAAGAAATTTGTTGAGTTTGGAATGACATAAATGTGTAATTCAACCTAGATCTTACTGTATTTCTCACTCATTTTACAATTGAATCCGCTATAGTATAGATAGCAGCTGCTTTCACAAGGTAATACTCATTTGCCATAAAATGACTGTAACAACTTTACATTACGTTAAATTTATGTTAAAGAATTCCATCAATAGGGTATATGCCGAAGCATGCTAATAGGACTTTAAATTTGCCAGTAACCCGGGTAAAGCGCTTCCGGTCAACTGGATGCCACTGCAAAAATTGGCGCATTTAAGGTCAGTTTTCTTTAAAATCAGCAATCTCCACTAGCTGAGTGATATCCGATATAAAGTGGGTCTCCGATTGTACAAGAAGCACTGCATTAAATAAAAATTTTCCCGCCATGTCTTTATAATATGAGGATTTATTTCACCCCAGTATATTCAATGGAGCTTCTGCGCTATCCTGCCGATTCTGACGGGTGCGTGCGAGTAAAAGGCTTTTTGTCTCGTTTTACGCTTGAGCAACTTAATGAATGCCAAAGTCAATTTAACTAAATGTATTTTGATTACATTACAACATCGATGTTGTAATAGAAACAGTATAAATTGGAAAAAAATTCACAATAACAGGTCATCGGAAGTTATGGAAAAACACTAACTCGGCAAATACCCTATTAACCGTTAATTCTTATTCCATCAATTCTATAAATTTACAGCTAACTTCTTATTCCTGGAAATTGCAGTCATTATAAAAAAGGCTGGTTCACACATTATCCTTTAATGGTAATTTTCCGGTAATTTTCCAGTAATCTTCTGAAAAAAGTCTATGGCTGTATTCAAAATTGCCACCAATTGCAGCGATTTGGTGTCTGAAATCAAAGTGGACAATGTGAAGTGAACTGAATCAACCCCACAATGCACACCGATAACAAGTCTACAAACCATGCACACTCAACAGCTAGAGAATCCCATTAATACACTGTAAGAGTTTGAGTGCAGAATGAATTTACGCATCTGACCACAAGATGGCATATGAAGCACCATCCTATCACTGGGGCCTCATGTACGAAGACTTGCGTTGAAATCATACTAAAACATTTTTACTGCGTACGCACATTTACAGCTTTGTGCGTAGGCAGCAAAAATTCAGATGTATGAAACACTGCGTACGCGGAATGCCACGCATATTCTCTTTGTACATTCGAATGAACGTGAAACTGAGCGCAACATGCACGAGCGCAAAACCCCTCCCTGCCTCCTCCCCCCTATGAATATACGCTAATGACTCTACTTTAGCAAAACCCAACAAAAAAAGCAATGGCAATACGGTGTGGGAGAGTTTAGTTGACGCAGTTAACACAGTTGGGTCTGAACATCGCACTGAGTGAATTAGAAAAGAAATAGTGCGATGTATAGGTGTAATATTTTATAGTGTCTTTGATATTGTGAGTGGCGTATCTCGTAAAACACACGGCAACATATTTTGACGCGTTCGAGTATGAACTCGGTTCGAATCCAGCATCTGATGAACTCATTCTTTTTTTTTTCCCCCGCTACATATCAGATTTTGCCTGCTCTTCATCACGAGGAAGACAAGTAGGAATCAATAATAAGTGTGTGCATCACATTTTATTTGCACATTTATTGAATGAAAATATTTCTGATTCACGTGTGCAAATTAGATCGCTACGATTACACTGGGAAAACTGGCGACAGCTCTCATACAGCTGCCATTGCACTGCTCAGACACTTTGTAGTGTGCAATTTAACACAACATCCTCTAGGAGTCGCCAATGAAAATAAAACAAACACACACAAGAAATGCACGTACGCCAGGCATGAAGTTGGCGTGGACCAGCGCACATTCCCATGGTTATTTTTATGTTAGTAAATCCAAACGTGAGCGCGAAATTTGGCGTACGCAAAGTTTTTGTGCGTACGCAGCATTGATACATGAGGCCCCTGGTTCTCCAGGTTGGGGGTTGAGCGTTGGGCTAACAACCCACCTCATAAAAACTAGATATATAAAAACCTAATATTGTGCGGCTAAATATCAACTTTGATTTAAATGGCCCTGGGAGTTAAGTTGTATGCATGGCTATTGTTTCATTACTAATAGACAGCAGACAAAAATCTAATCCTTCTGAGGAACTTATCAAGCAGAAAATACAAACAAAGTGCTTGAATTCACTCAGTCCTTTCATTCACTCCTTCATGAAAACTATATATTTGGACTAATGTAAGGAATAGTAAATGAGGGTATAGGGGTGATTTCAGATACAGCATATGTGTTAAACGGGCTGTGTAATAATGATTGACCTATCACATGTTCATACTACAAATAAGGTTAAATTTATGGGTCTCTAAGACAAAGAAATGTGCCACAAGTACTGTACAGTATGTTACATCCTCGGCACATTTTTTTAATACCAATCCACTCAGAATAAGAGATGGTGATGGGTTATATTGTCAGTAAACTGCCACTTTGTCATTCTGCCTATCTGACAGGCCCGCTGACCTCTTGGTGTGGGAATGCAGTTTAACTGAGAACCAGTCAGATTTCCTGCTTTATTGAAAGCCCTCTTAGGAGCAACACTCCATTAAGTGCTGTTGATCTACCAGTTTCTTACACTGCTTGACTTATCCATATATGTAGCACACACACGCACACACACGCACACACGCACACACACACACACACACACACACACACACACACACACACACACACACACACACACACAAAGAAACATGCCATAGATATTTTGAAATAGCGTAAATGCAACAAATGCACCATCATTTCATTTAACTGATCTGAAAGTACACGGTCAGTGTCTTTAAAAAAGGGCAAACAGAGGACAATCCCAGCTTTTGTTGTTCTCGCCTTGACTAAAGCGGTCTCAAAAAAACACCCCAAACACACAGCAAAAAGCCTGACCAACATAATATCCGAATTACCAGAAGAAATATCTAGAGATCACCAGCTAAGGGCACTAAAAGCTACAAAGATTAACTGTCAAAGATTGCTCTCTGCTGCTTTAGTTTAACTGTAAAGGACTTAACCTGGAAAGATCAGAGTATTAATATATTCAATTTATATTTACCAATTACTATTTTTTATTCATATTAAAATACATGAATGCAAAGCACAACCCAACACGGTTCATTTAAACATTTTTTTTTCTATTTCAGTATCTAAATTTTAAAATTTAAACCTACACATTTCTTTCTTTCACAACAACAAACATATTACATTCTGAAACAAATTCACATTACTTTTATGAAGGCATACATATTAATCAACACAAATTTAGTAAATATAAGAGATATGGGGAAAAGGCAAAACATTTTACATTTATTAATATTATAAAATATTGCATAGCCATTTTTTAAAATTGGTTTTAAATCAGTTGCAATAATTTTGGAATGTTTAAATGTATGTTTTCCATGTTAGATTAAAAACTATATGCACTGTAATAATTAAAACAATAACAACACACACTCAAGAATATGTATTGTATGTAATGTAAAAAAAGTTAATCTAGAAATGTTTTCCCAGCACATAGTGAGGTCTATGGGCGGTGGTCTAGTGCCTGCACTGGTGAGTGAAGTGCTGAGAAATGGCCGCAGTGCTGTTCACTGTCAGGCTATCCTCAGTGAACTAGTACAGGTAAGAGGGAGACTTTACTTTAACATAGTACTAAACACTACTGTGAAATGATGGCTTATCTAAGTTTACATTTTATTGTAGATCTGCAGAGTGAAAGAAGTACTCAATACTTTACTTCAACAAGTGGATGATGCTGATCCGAATGCAATTGCGGACTCTATCATTGTTCTCATGCCTCCTATTCAGTCAGGTAATTGAACAACCTCAGTGAGCCCAAAGCCATAACCATTTTACAACCTGCAAACAACAATATTTTTTTTTGTTTCAACTTAAAATAAATGCCAAAACAAAAAGTCTCCCTCTACTGACACTACGAGCTGCAATAAACTCTTTTCTGTTTGTTCCTAATACAGTTCTATTGAGAATGAGCGAGTTGAAGGCCCCTGGATTGTCTATGGCCCTTGATTCACTTCAGAAACAGATTTCAAAGTTGCCTGTACCATACTCAAACAAACAGGAACAGGAAGATGTGTATGGGCTCTGCCGATGCTGCACTGCAGTACTGACCTTTATACAACCCTTCGTGCAGGAAGTCAAGAATCAAGACACAAACTCAGAGGCCACTAGTTTAAGAGCTGCTCTTCTAAAGTTGTATGTTTTTACTAATGTGTATGTGACAATACACATTGTTTTAAGAATTTTACTGAGATAATCAAACTGGTACATCTGTAAAGCAAGTTTTAAAGCTGGACAATTTGACAGTATGCCATCTTTCGACTTTAGCTGTACTCATATTGTTAACTTTAACTGTATTCATATTAGAAAATAAATTAGTGCAGCAGGTTCTTAAGATTATGTCTATATTTTCTCATGTCTGATGCCCAGCTATCAATATGCTCATGTGATCAAAACAGGACTTAGGGTGTATTCACACTTGTAGTTTGGTTCGGTTTTCTTGGTTCGTCTAGTCTGGACTCTGGACCAAAAATAAAAATAACACATTTAGTCTTGATCCACTTGGCATCCGTACCTACATTCTTAAGACCCAACTTAAGAATAAAGTGGTAATAAGCATTCTGTCTACTGTAGGCTTGCATCTCAATAACTCACAAACAGTCTCTGGTTCACTTAGATTAGGGGTCACCTAACTTGTTCCTGGAGGGCCAGTTTAGCTCCAACCCAGAAAACTCCTGAACAAGCTAATTAAGGCCTTACTACAGTATGTATGGACCCTTTCATGACTGTTATGATGTGTTTAACGAACATCTGCATCTTTAATCCTTTTTTAATATTTTACTTTTTAATATTTTAGTTTTTAATATTCCAACTTTGGAATAAAAAAAGTATGAACAATTATTTATTTACATATGTATTATATTACTGTTGCATCAAATTACAAAAAAAACTTTGTTCTTTCTTCTGGCTGCTGTTATCAGTCTCACATTTTTGTAGCTTTTTCTGGAATTCTTGAGTTTTTCATTAATTATTTGAGCAAATAGATTTGTAAATAATAATAATAATAATAATAATAATAACAATAATAATAATTGTACAATCCCAAGATCTGTGACATTTGGCTTAGACGTTTTTGCTCTGTTTTGCATTCTTATTCAATTAAATATGCACAGTTTGCAATCAGAAAACAATCCACCCAATCATAAAACCAGTGAGGTGACAGACACACTATTTCATCAGTTTCAGTTTGCAGATTTTTTTGTGGACCAGGGTTCAGATGACAGCATACGCTCATTGAAAGGAACAACGCTAACAGAGCAATCACACCAGAGTTTTTTTTTAACTGAACCAAACTTGCCAAGTGTGAACACACACATACATAATGTTCAGAATCAGCTTTGTTCCCAGTGGGTATCTTTATGAAGAAATAGTAAAATGTAAATCAGCAGTCAGCTGTCACAGAGTCTGATGTACACCAATCATTTTCTTAACCCTAACTTTTTTTCATCCCTTTGTAGATTTTAAGCATGTGATCTCAATCAGTATTGTTCCAAATTCTTCAAAATGTTTTTTCTGTTTATAATGGCTCAGTTGCATGAACAGTCTAAGGGAACCCCTCCTCCAAGCTCAACTGGACAGAGAGGGCAACAAAACAGAAATTTTGCCACTGTGGAATTTTGCAGCAGAAATAATGGTAATATCTCTCACATCTTGTTCACCACAAGGTTTAGACCACAGGTGTCAAACTCAGTTCCAAAAGGGCCGCAGCTCTGCACAGTTTTGTTCCAACCCTAATTAAACACACCTGATCAAACTAATTAAGTCCTTCAGGCTTGTTTGAAATCTACAGGTAAGTGTGTTGGAGCAGGGTTGGAACTAAACTGTGCAGTGCTTTGGCCCTCCAGGAATTGAGTTTGACACCCCTGGCTTAGACAATGATTTTTGAGGAAAAAAAGAATTTTAAGTGATTTTGTGCCTCTAATACAGGCAATCCTAGTAGTGATCCAAGAATCTCTACCAAAAATCCTGTTCTACCATCCTGTGAGGGGAAAAGAGGACGACATACTAGAGAAACAAGCCTGCCATCCAAATGAATCAAAAGCTTGCATTGCTTACTTGCTGTTTGTCCAACTTATTGCCATAGATGTTTTCCCTGCAGTTTTTAGGTAAGTTGCAGTTAGACCTCAAGTCTCTAAAACATGTTTTTCTTTCCTCTCACTATGTGTTTACCCGACTCAAAGACAGTGTGAACAGTTAAGGCCACAAATCTCTTGGGCTTTCAAAAACAGTTCAAATCCCCATCACCGTTGTACAGTTGAAAATCTTGTTTTGCGCTCAAAGGCTTTCAGATATACCAAAAGGATTTAGAGCCTTCTGCAAACTTTTTATTGTACTTTATTTTTTGTAGCACTGTATTTATTAATGCAGGTTGCACAACTAATGTATTTGTAATACATGTATTTATAACATCTAATTATTTTATTTGACATTTTATTTCAGCCCTGTTTTTGTACTCCAGTGTAATATGGAATACATCAATCTTCTGTTGAGTAGGTGTGTAAACCATGCAGTTTGTATAATTTTTTTAGAAAATATTTCTGAACATAGTGTGCACTTCTTGTCTGACTTCCCATCCTGATTTTTATCTCTATACAGAAAAGATGAATCATGGATTTTGAAAGGACTGGTAGAGTAAACGTCAATCAAAATGTTGAATATTACTTTTATTATATTGCAATTGTTTAAGTACTAATTTGCTTCTTTTAAAAGGACTTACATGTTAAAAGTTTGGAAAGAATAACAGCCTGCAGTCTCCCAGTGGAGCTCTTAGACCTGAAACCATTCCATGAGGTTCCGCAGGTTTGCAACACTTGTTTTCATTCATTTTCTTGTTGGCTTAGTCCCTTTATTAATCCGGGGTCGCCACAGCGGAATGAACCGAAAACTTATCCAGCAAGTTTTTACGCAGCGGATGCCCTTCCAGCCACAACCCATCTCTGGAAAAAACACGAACAAAAATACTTTGGTGTTTTAAAAAAGCTGATAAATTGATCACACTCTATTTACTTTATGTTCCTGAATGGGGTTAACTCTGCAATAATGTTCTTTTGTTTGCGTAGCTATATTTGCCACATCAATAAATAGTCAAATATAAAATACTAATTTGCATTGAACTTGAAAGTAACACAACTCAGAATATTGTGACAAACCAAAGTAAAATTCTTGTTCTTTTGTTCACAGAGCTTAATTAAAATTATGATTGAATGTCCTATCCAGCATTTGGTAAGTACACGGTTTCTATACACATGAGACATGGTTTACTTTTACTGGTAAATCTGATCTTTGAGAAGAAGAGCAAGCGTTATGTTTTTATTCAGAGAGGAAGAAGCCTTGTGGTGTTCCAGCTCTTTATAGAGAAGCTTAATGGTGAAGCAAAGCACAAATTTTTCAGGTATGGTATTTGAAAAGTATATGTTTATGTCGAACATCCCTGGATAGATATTAACTGTTGTTTCTTTCCTTTTTGAATGCTCTAAGGCGCATAATAAAAACTAGCCATCATGCAGGTGTAGAAAGTACCATCCTCAAAAACATAAAAAATCAAGTGGAACAAACCAGAAAGGTAGTGCACAGTGAATAAAATGAGTTATAAATCATGTTAAACTGTCGACTTGTTCATGTAACTGATGCTAGAAATGTTTCTTTTGCTATTAAAGTCAGTCTACCAAGATGGCTGGTTTGAGGGGACTCGGCTTATCTCACTGCTCAGAGACACTATCTGTCTCCCACAGGGCCACGAAACTGACTTGCTACATGGAATGGACAGGTAAACCAAACCAGTTATTCACAAAGAGCTTTTAGTAAATGAAAACAATTGCCTGACAGGTCACTAAATGCACATAACTACATCTTGATAGATCTAATCAACTTTCATATCAACAAATCATTGACATGAATCGTAACCCAAGTACAGACTCTACGTATGGCAGCTGTCTCTGTTTTAAATGTTAGATCTCCTACCAACTAGATACAATCCATCCCTATCCATCATTTATTTATGAGTGTAGTCCAGGTTTACTGCCATGATCCCACAATACAGAACAGATGGTGAGCACTGCCATATTTTGAGCCAGATCCTGTGTCATTCCTAAAATGATACTACAACCTGAGTGATTGACATACCTCGTCTGGATAATCTGTCCCTGATAAATTACATAGGCCTTGCTTCACCCTGCTGATGTGCATATGATAAAACAGAATACGCACCTGTGCAACTCTTTCTCTGTCAAGCATTGACAACAAGCTATACAGATATTTTAACACAATTATTTTGTTAATAAATTCTTTTTTCTTAATTGTTTTTAAAGGGTCATGGAGTCTCTAAATCTTCTGCGGTATTTACTGATACAGAAAAGAGGAATTTCTGTAAGGCTTTTACAAACTAATTTGCAAAATAATCATATTTTTTAGCTATACCTTTTCTACGTTTTTTTTTAATAAGAGTGTCTCTGTTTATTTCAGACTGGAGAGTGGACAGACCTGTGCCATATTGCTGAGACGTACACAAAATTACTACGTGTTTGTCTAAGCATGTCAAAATCATACTATGGAACTGAGTTAAAAAGACTTCGAGAAAACAAAAAGATTAAGGCTAAAGGTAACACATATGTTGTGCTTGGTCCTTTAAAAAGACAGTTGTTGCAGTTTTAAAAATGGAATTTGATCTGCAGTAACATTTTTGCTTCCAACAGAATTCAAAGAGGCATCTGGAAAGAGATCAGTTCAGAGCTTGATTGTGAAAACGGAGACGCTTGGTAGCATGCCACCTGAGGCACAGGATAAGGTTAGATCATCATCTGTAGGTGTACCACTGATCTAATTTCAGTTTAAAAACAATGTGTCATATATAACACTAAATATATTATTTGCAGGTCTTGCAGTGCGCCCTGGTCACATGTGACTTAATGGAAAGTCTTGTAGTCCGGATTGAAGAGATCATTGAGGAGAGTCAAAAATGAAGTACTGCGCACATTTACTGCAATCCTAACCTAATTTCTTTCTATCTTTCCCCTATATCATGTAGTATTTTGCAATGATAGAAAACAAAGTTACCATAGCAGTATTTTCAATATTTTTAAGCCATTTCTACAAAAAATAATAATAATTATTCTCATTTGAAATAAAAGGTGGACAATTTTTCCTGACAAACTGTTTGCTTTGCTCTTTGTGGTTTATGAATTATTTTTTAAAGAAAATATTTATGCAAGAAACTGAATAAAGACTCAACAATTGGCACTGCACAGTATGAAACAATACTGACATCTGCTGTTACATTTAAGTATAGCAAGCAAGAAGATATTGAGGTGAATCTCACTTGAACTGCATATCCTGAAGCATTCCCCAAACTGGGCTATGATCTGCGATGAGAGTACAAGCCAGACATCTGATCTCTGAAATTTTCCACAGTAGGTTTACTCGTGGCCTGAAATAAAAAGGCCATTTAATCTTTTGTGGGTACCATCTTAATATACTTCTTACATGTGCTTTTACTTCTGCGGGCATCATGTTCTTTACTTCTTATATGTGCTATGCTTCTACTGTGCGTCTATAATAAGAACAGCCCTTGATGTAAAATTTGAGTTAACCCTAAGAACTCATACATTTAAATTTTTATAAATTTATAAATTCGAATTAAAACACTACAGGAGAAGTATGACAGTTAACCAAAAATAAACAACAAATCCTTCACTCAAACTAAAGTGTACTACAGTATCACAACAAACCTTAGCGATGATCAGCATTCCATTCACTACTTCAGCAGTACTATGCACGGGAATGACTTTGAGGTTACAGCCAAGAAATCTGTTGCAAAAAAATCTAATATCAGAAAATGAAGCTTAGAAAACTACTGTGATTCAATTTCCAGATGCCCTGTCTAGAGCACTGCCTTTTTAGTATAGCTTGCTTACAAAATAAAGTTTTGCATTTGTGTTTTTCATCTCATGTACCTGTTCTGCACCAGTGATATAATCTCCCACTCTTTTTTTCCGTAAACTGGGGCTTGAAGCAGAAGAAAACTGTTTCTGTGGATCTGCACAAATCTTTCCATTCTCTCAAATGGTTCTACATTTTCAAGCTTAGCTGGAAACTCTTCAGGTGTCACAAGCAAGAAAGCTGTACCTGCGCAATAAAAAAGTCAAGAAAATGTAATGAGGGTCCACTGTATTTTAAACCCCTGTCCTACTGTCCATTTTGCTAATCGACTTTTGTTTTCTAACAAACTCAAAAGACCCTTTGATGCAATGTTTCTGTTCTCAGTACTGTTGTCCACCAGAAGCCACCTGAAGTTCTCAGTGGATCCCTAGCCTGTCAAAATAGAGATCTGTAGGCAATTGACATTGGGCCAACACAGTCTGCATTTTTGTCAAACAGCAAAATATAAGTAAATGTACATTTGACTGCAGTTAGGTAAAATAAAGGGCAGTTTGATGTCCTTAACTACACAGACTTCTCACAGATTAGTTCGGTTTTAGGGTGACGGTTTTGGTATGAGATTCAGTAAAATATATCTATAAATACAATCAATAACACTGATGTATATAATTTTTACTTTATAAATTAAACAATGATAAACATGATTGAGTTTTATAGCTATTCAGCCAAGAGCAGAGTACTTTAATGTATTTAAAAAAACTGCCCTAGCAAAGCCTAAGTCCCCATGTGTATGTGGGAGTTACTTTACTGACCAAAGAAAGTTTTATGAACATGAATTGACACCCTGTTTCAGTCATAACCCGTACATAGCAGTAGTAATAATTTATTTTATCATAAGTAATTGGTGATAGACTTCTTTAAAACACGAGTAACGCTTTTTTGAAGATGATGATGTTCTCTCCTTCGGGTTCAGTTTTTAGTTACGGCGCAGTTCGTTGCGCCCTCTGCTGATATAAGAGAAGACAGGCACTACTAGACTATTATTATGATAATCAGGAGATAAATGGCGGTCAGGCGGTTTTAAACGTACTTTAAAACACGATTAAACTGTTACTGGGATGAACAGTTTTTATAAGCGGGATGAAAATGCAGAAAACACCGTCTAAAAAGGGACCAAATTAGTTGAAAAAAATATAACGCCTTTACAAGTTACCTGACAAGGGGAAAACGAAGGAAGAGTCCAGAATGCTATCTGATCGGCGAATCCTGTGCTGCTGTGCTAAAAGCAGCCGTGAAGCCTCATCACACTGTAAAGACATTACGAAATAGAATAAAACATTTAAATACATCATGGATAAATCGGTCAACATTTGAGTAAATCCCTTAAATGGGATGTACGGCAAGCCATACATTCAGTAATGATTAACAATATTATTGAAAATGAACCTGCGAAGAGGAGCTGATTATAACTGTTGTTTTCCAAGATGTATTATCGCTGGCCATTTCCGATAATTTGGGCTGATTTTAAGCTAACTGTCAACTGAAGCAAACGATGGAAAGGGCGGGCAGTGTTGTATCGAAATCTGACTCCTTGGACAAATCTAGGGAAGTCGATTCCTCGACTCTCAATGGACCCACTACCGGAATCGACTCCAAGACAGGAATCGACTCCCAGAGTCGAGTGTTTTTTTTTATTTTTTGTTTTTTTTATACAAATCCTCTTGAATGAAGCAGTTACAATTTACAGTTATAATGCTCATTCCCGAGCATAATGAACACCATAGGCTTTTGAATTCACAAATTTTACGGTTTTGCTTTTGAATTTCGCGACGACGTAATATTAAAATAGTACGTGCTGCGCGATGAAGTTTATTCATTTTCTTTTCGGCTTAGTCCCTTTATTAATCCAGGGTCGCCACAGTGGAATAAACCGCCAATTTATCTAGCACATTTTTACACAGTGGATGCCCTTCCAGCTGCAACCCATCTCTGGGAATAATAAACTCATTAATCTTCATTAATTTTAGACATGGCATATACCGTATGATGAACAATACAAGCATGTAAAAAGTTATTTATACAGTATATATATATATATATATATATATATATATATATATATATATATATATATATGAAAAGTGTTTTTAAACTAAACAGATTTTTATTTGGTTTGTACCCAAATACATTTGCACATGTACTTCCTGAATTACTTCAAGGAATAAATAGCAATATTTCAAGAAGAGTTAATTAAATGAAAAAAAAACTACATTATTACATTTACCAAAAACAAAAATATAACATTACACTGAATTCATAATTTTTTTTGTGTGCCACCCCAAGATTTGGTGCGGCCTCTTCTGGCCACCCCTAAGACAATTTTCTGGGGGCGCCACTGCTAAAAACAAGACAACTTCCGCATTGAAGAATAAAGTCACTCCATATACCGATACCACAACGCATAATTCAAAGCACAAAAAGCCGGAATATCAAGCAAGACAAAAAGTGACGGATCTACGAAACTGTAAGAGGGCGGATTAATCGTTTGCATGCCTGGGTCTCTGTTCACGGTCCTCGGGGCGTGGTCAAAGCGTAGCGGCCGGATGGGCCGGATCGTCTGTCAATCAAACGGCCAACGGAGGGTGAGTTTGGGCGAGTTGTACCAGTCCACGGCCCTTTACGTGTCCCCCAGGCGCGCCTCGCACTCCCACGTCCTAGTACATGGTATTGTTTGGCGTTCTCGACATGATTTACACACAGAAGGCGGAAAAGACAGCTCTGGAACCCAGCAATCCCCTTGATTGGTCGTTCGTTGCCGCAATGCATTGTGGGAAGCACACTTCGCCCTTAAAAACGGCTACAAATGCAATAAAATTAAAATTTAAACAAGCAAAAATGACAGCACGTTGCTGGAAGAGCTGGGTGGCGTCTACCTTTGCAGTCTAGGCGACGGTTGAAAATGTGGCCTACCGTCGATGAGAAACAGCGCTCCTATCGCACGTATAAATACAATTCCGTGCAGCTGCTCAATTACGGTCCCCGGGCTCGGCTGCGGCTGTTCAAATTCAAGCTCATCCAAAGTGACCCAAAACACGTGATATCAATTGGCAATCAAGATTCGGCCCAAGTTTCGGATCCAAATGCAGCCGGTGGAGCTCGGGGCCACGTTTTATTTGTTTTTACATTTTTACCTTTTCTCGTCCTTGACTACAAGCGAAGGTGGACCACACCTGCAAAGACGATAAAGAACAATAAGAAAAGACACTTAAAGAAAGGGATAAATAAGCAAATCTATACAGGCTCACTTTGTATTTCTGTGTGGCGTTTACATTTTCCCCCCATGCTCGCCTAGGTTTTCACCACAAGTCCAAAACATGCGCTTTTGATCAACTGGGTAAGCTAATATTGGCCATAGTGTATGTGTGCAAATGAGTGTGTATGTTTTTTTTTCCCCAGTGATGCCTTGCAGCTGCAAGGGCATTCACTGCGTAAAACTTATGCTGGATGAGTTGGCAGTTCATTCCGCTGTGGCCACCCCTGATTAATAAAGGGACTAAACCGAAAAAGAAAATCAACGAATCTATTCATAAATCCCTGCATAAATAAAACAATAAATAAATAAATGAGTACATACGTTCACAAATCCCTGCTTAAATAAAGACACAACTAATGAATAGTGCAATAAGCTGATAAATAATGAAATAAATTACACTCGTGTTGGGGGATTAAGAACACGCTAAACTGAAAGGTTTAGAGGCCGGTGTGCCATCGTTGGTTGATGGCTAGAGCAATTTTGCATTGTGTTTTTTTTCTTTCTTTTTTTGACTGGCTTAAGCTGATGATTGACAGACAGCCTATTTCTTATTTATTTTCAATATTTTCCTATTTCTCCAACATTGGTGTAATGTACTTGATCATTTATCAGGCCGCGCTACTGATTGTTTCTATATTACTTGGTCGGTCTTTCACAGAGGTCACTCTATAAAAGACGAGTTTTTTTTCCCGCGGCCCTTACGGCGACTCAGTGGCTCAGTGGTTAACGCGCTCGCTTAGCAACATGAAGGACCCGGGTTCAAGACCCGGCTGGAGATCTGCACTGTTGCAGCCTGGCTCGACGTGGGGACCGCATGTCTGGACTATCGCTTTCATTTCGCAATTTTCTTTTGCCTTTTCATAATATCAAATTTATACACGCGTGTTCAGAACGTTGGAATAGCAGGAGTGTTAGTGGTTAACGACAGAAGGATTTTCACTTTTGACTCAACTAATCCCTTATGAAAACTGAGGGGCCACGAATTCTTTTTCCTTTTGCCCTCAAGTATGACACGTGTAATGACAATGATGACAAAATTCATGTATAGAAACAAACATAAAAACACATCAACTGCTTGCTATCGAAAATCCAGCATGTAATACACATTTAAAATAAGGAATATTATACACAAATGATTTTAATACAAATCTTTTCATTCCAAAAACTCAAATGACATGCATGCGTTTTATATGACACGAATGCACATTGAAAGAACCGAAAAAAATAATACTTTCACAATAACGATAGCAAACCTTAATATTATATAAATTCTGTTAATTATATAAACAAAATTAAGAGCTTTCCTTTAAACTAGTCACATCTGGTTAAAAAAACATGTTCTGGCAAGCCAGACTCATTTACAGTATTGATTAAAGTATTCTGTTTTAAATAATTTTAAGCAATTCACGCTGCAAAAGATGAAAGAGAAACTAATTAAGCGTAGAGCGCAGGTTTCTGTGCGCATCACGCGTCTGAGCGCGCATTACCAAACGCACTTCCCGTTAAGAATTTTATGCAGTCGTAATTCATACAATAGAAAGTCTTTAAAAAACACAACCAGTTCAGCAGCACTGAGTGGGATAATCGGGAGATGTATTGGGCCCGCTCAAACATTATAGCATTTTTCTCACGGAGAAAGCAAATATTAAGTTCACTATTTGATAATGACGCACCGAAACGGACAAAACACAGGCAGTTTCAGTAGTGAAGTTCGTGCAAAGTGCAACACAAAAATCAAACACGAGTGTCAAAAACATCCATATTTAGACACAAATCCACACATAATCTTGCTTTCGCTTTGCTCCCTCCAAGCGCGCGCTCCTCTCTTGACGCGCGCTGCTGCGTGTGCCTCATCTCTCATATCGAAGGGTTAGTATCTGAACTCATTTCCATATCACTGACTCGTTCAATTAAATACGAAGGCCGTGTAACGTGCTGTCGACTGACGTGTTGTCCTTTTTTCCCTTCAAATCTCTCAAATTATCATATGTGGTCTCCTCTGTTATTGAACCTTTTAACTAGGGAAAACCGTAAAAATCATACACACGATACCTTAAACTGTTACTGTTGTGCTCAACAATAGTGCAATACAATATTAAAAATTCAGAATTCAATAATGAATAGAGTAAATATTGATAATACAAGATGTTTCAGGGAGCAGGCCGACGCACACACAGAGCGCCATGATAAAGCCCGTGAAACGCCATGTGTGTCAATTAAAACATGTTAAATGCGAAATAAACTAATAAAAAATGTTTTTGGTGGGCTATAAATGGTAATGTATTAGCTATCTACCACTAACAAGTGGGCTAATATGCAAAGAAAATCTGCTTTTCAAAAATGTGTATAAAATGCTAATGTCCATATTGGCTCGGGTGAATTAAATAATAATAATAACATTAAGATTTTTTAAATCACAAAATATAGAAAATGTGTGGAATGCTGATATTTTTTGAAGGTGTCATCTCAAAGTTGTAAATTCCAGCATAGTGACATCATACAGTTATTGTAAAGATTATTATATGCATCAAAAGCAATATGGGTGAAGCTATTGCAGGTATATTTTACATTTAAAAAAAGTGAAGGAATAAAACGCTTTAAAAACATCAATTATTTACAGTATCTTATAGAAAACATTTATTTTTTTTATATTTCAGCTTTTGCCGAACATAAATGATTGAATGTTTTAATTTTAGGGAATAAAAAGTTTGTTATTGTTTGTCAACTCTGTCATGGATGAATTTAGTAATGTTTAGAAATAATAATAAATCATAGCAAGAAAAATCCTAGTTACTGAATTGACAGTCACAATTTAGAGTTTTACAACTTTTTAACCAAACATTCTACTTGCTATAAATGCTAACATCACATGATACAGATGAAATCAAGATTAAAATATTTAAAATTGTGTGATCAATGAAATATTCATTCGGTTTTCCTTTTGCAATTGTGGTAATAGACAGTTTACAGTTTAAACATTTGAAAATATTAGTGATGGGTTTTTTTTGTTTTTTTTTTAAAGAAAAGCAAAATAAAATATTTTTTTATTGCACAACAATACATGATGGAAAAATACACTGACTGATTCGAACATCAAGAAATCATGATTTTTAGTAATATGATCTTTGAAAATGAAGAACACATTTTATTAATAATCAAAAATGTAACAATGTAATGTAACAATTTTTTGAAAGCTAAAAAAAGGATGGCTTTGGTCACTAAATGTACCTGCAACTATAGAATCACCCATACAGTTCGTGGAGAGCCACATGTTTTTCTGGAGTTTTCTTGCAAAACTTGGCAAACATCACTTAAGCAAGCAAACACTGAGATAAATATACTCTGCAGTACAAAGTTTATAAATAAAAGTTAGTTTGCTCTTATTAAAATGACAGAGAACAATTTAAAAGATAAATACATTACTTTTAAAATAAATGCTATAAATTATTTGATTACCTTTAAAACAATTGTTGTCTTTACAAACAGACACACACACACACACACACACACACACACACACACACACACACACACACATACAACCACACACACACACACACACACACACACACATGTTTTTGTGCATTGTGGGGGTCACTTGTCACGGTGGTTACAGAATGGGGACCGCCCTTTCTGATGATGTTAAAGACATAAAAAAAATAGTTTGCCACACAAAAACACAAACTATTTCATAAAATCACTTTGGATATTCTGCAAATTTTTTTTTAGACCTGACACAGTGGTCACTTGTGGGGACATTTCAGGTTTTGTGTAGAAGTGGGGTCCGCCACATACACAACCGATTTTTAGACAAAGTGGGGACCAATTCTACACACACTTTACTGGTTTTGAGACAAAGTAAGGACCAGGTCTACACACACATTACCGGTATTGAGTCAAAGTAAGGACCAGGTCTACACACACATTACCGGTATTGAGTCAAAGTAAGGACCAGGTCTACACACACATTACTGGTATTAAGTCAAAGTAAGAACCAGGTCTACACACACATTACTGGTATTGAGTCAAAGTGGACCAGGTCTACACACACATTGCTGGTTTTGAGTCAAAGTAAGGACCAGATCTACACACATTACCGTTTTTTAGTCAAAGTGAGGACCAGGTCTACACACACATTACCGGTTTTTAGGCAACGTGGGGATCAGATCAGCACCCTTACTAATATTAAATTTTAAACCTCAATCAAGTAATTTGACAGTAAACTGCTTTAGAATTTTCATTTGAAGAGCAGGTCAGTTAATAAAAAATGTAATTTGAATACAGAAGGAACCTCAAGATCCAAACAGGAAATGGTCCAGAATAGATTCAATAAATGTTATATTTATTATAAATAATTTCCACAAAACCTTTAAACACAAAAAAAAAACAGTAAACACAAAGTTTCTAATTTGCAAGTATCTAAAAAAAATGAGTGCTAGGAAGAGAATTTTTTTGTATTAATTGTGAAAAGCTGGGAAAAATATTATCGAAACTCTGGGTAATTTAACATGTAATAAATAATTTAGGTAAAGTACCCTCTATAAAATCAGTAAGCGGTAGTCCTCCAGTATCCCATCATACCACCTGCTCATTGCGGTGACCTCTCTGCAAAGGAGGCGGCTCCTGTTGCGCGCGCATGTTCTTCTGTGAGTTTGCGCGTTAGCTGGGTGCTGCTGCGTGGATGATGGCTGCATCGAAGCCCGTAGAGCCTCAGTCCGGGAGTGGGCTTCCCCGCTGGCAGCTGGCACTCCTGGTGGGGACTCCGATCGTCCTGGGTGTCGGAGCTGTCTACCTGTGGAATCGAAGTCGCGCCAAGGAAAAGCAGGGGAAAAGGAACGGAGAGAGGAAAACCCCAGAAGGAAGCGCTAGTCCTGTCCAGGGCCAGCACGGTGCGACAAATCCAGAGCTCGAGAACCTGGTAATCAGCCTAATTTTGAAGTCTATTTGTCCTATTTTAATACACCACATGTATATGTATTTGGAGCTGTCGTTTTGACCCTTAATATGTTCTTGACACCCCAAGATTAAAGCACTTTTAGTCAAGGACACGGCTTGACAGTTTAGCCTGTGCTAGCCAGAGTGCTTTAGCAGGTTAGCTTCCAAACGTGAGCCTATAGACCACTTCTGAGATCATTATGTTTGCTTTTTGGCAGGATTGTAATAATGCGTTTGGTTTATTAACACTCATGCAGAAGATGTTTTTATTCCACTCCTAAAGGTCACGTTTTTCGTGTATGTAACATTATGGTGCTGTGTAATCATTCATTGGGCACATCCACATGTGTCCGTTTTCTTAAAAACATTTTTTATGTGTTAGTTATTGCCAAACTGTACTTAATATGTTGACACTGTCTTTTAGATAATCCTTTTGGAACACAGTAAGGATTGAGCTCTGGTGACTGTCAGTTCACGTGGTTCCGGATAAGGGGCAGAAACTTAATTGTTAGTAAATAAACATTTTTTGGGGAAAAATAAATAGTATATGATTAGCTTGCATCAGTAATCCTAAATGGCTTGTATAGTCGTGGAAGTTCGTTGGTAATGAAATAGGGGAGCTGGTTTGTTAATAATAACGTTGTTTATTTTCTCATCCATAAAATATCCAAGATGTATATTACTTTTTTTTCTTTAGTAGAATATAAAAGATCACTTTTATCTGATGCTGTTGTTCATGGTAGTTCAGATTTAATGACAAACTGTACTAGGTATGTTTTGACAGTATGAAGTGTGAGTGCAGATGCAAACTCGCACACAAACTGCATTATTTAATGATTTATTTATTTACAATGAGCATGTTTGTTGTATTTTTCATGGTGCTTGGCTTGTTCTTATCCAGCTTGCTGTAGTCTATATAGCATGGGCTGGTATAAGATTCTGTGGGTATGAAAACCTTGGATAAAAATATATCACAGAATTTTGATTACTGATCGGAAATATATTCTTTTTAAATATCTGGGTTAATAACAAAAAATAAATAAAAATAAATAAATAAAAAAATAGTAAATAAAAAATCGTACACATATCTTAGGAACGGTATTACAGAAAATTTTAGTGGTTTTAAAACCTTGACTTTTCCATGTTATACCTTCAAAATGGTTATCGTCCCATGCCTGATATAGCATAAACCCATTGTATATGAAGTTGTAAGTAACTGTCATCAAGCAGCTCATGTGTGAGCTTGTGTCATTTTGTGAAATGACGATTGTGCTATACAGGGTTCATACGGTCATGGAAAACCTGGAGAAGTCATGGAATTTTGACATGATATTTTCCAGGCCTGGAAAAGTTTTGGGAAAACAGAAAAACCCACACAGATTTTAAAAAGTCATGGAAAACAGATATCTTTGTACTTAAATATAGTTTTTTTTCTTCTGTCCTTTGCCAGTCACTTACTCTTACATTATTAGTGCAGTTGTAAGCATTATCTAAATAGATTTTACATAGATATAAATTAAAACTAAATAAATTGTTGTGTGTTTTACGATATGCTGTAATACATTTGAACATGCGTTGTTTTTCTGTTACCACTCATATGTAGACAATGCATGAAATATAAGGTCATGAAAATGTACTTGAAGGTCTAGGAAAAATCATTGAAAAGTCATGGAATTAGTAGCAAAAATGTGTATAACCCCGGCTCATGAACACTCTGGACTGACTACCGATCTGATCTGCTGAACTGATAGCAATAACATTTTTCTGCATATAATCATTATTTTCTTGAGATACTTTGCCGAATGAATACGGCAAAAAAACAAAAAAAAAAACTGCCAATTGTTTTGAAGTTGCACAGACAGTTTTATCAGTGTGGTTCAAAAGAAAAGACAGTGCTGGTAGAGCAATTACATATTTGTTTTCACTAAATGTCTTTAAGTTTACACAAGTTGTAGCCAATAATATTGTTTCTATTTAATTGTTTAGTTTGGTTAAGAGTAGTTTGGCTAGATGCCCTGCTGCTCTTATGATTTGAAAATTGCTTTTTAGTTTAAGATAGAAGTCTGAATTAGGGCTGCACAATATAAAGTTTAAGCATTGATATCGCAGTGTGATAATTTGCAATAGTGGCATCGTGAGTACACACAATGCTGAGTCACGATTATAATTGATCTTTTTTTTTTTTTAGGACTGTTAGGGCTTTAAAAGCATTCAGGCACAAGAAATTGTACAGTTGGTCACTTTAACAGTTTATTAATGATTTATGTTAATTTACATTTGATATTTCAATTGCTGTATACCTGAAAACAGTTTGACTCCCCATAATGTTATGCACTCGTATACAGAATATAAATTTTCAAATAGTTGTTCAGCTCCTCTATTGAAATTATATTCATATTGCAATATATATTGTAGAATTAAAAAAAAATTGCAATGTTAGATTTTTCCAATATCGTGCAGCCTTAATCTGAATAATGCTTTATTTTTCATACTACACTTTTGACAAGTTATTGAGCTGATAAAACCTTTCAATTGTAGGGTACCAGCTATGAAGTTGGAATGACAGGTTGTACATGCATCATTTTGTACTTGTGATCTAATTAGGCAGCTCACCTCTGTGTTTCTAAGCTTTAGGGATTAGACAGACGTGGAGTAGGGGATTTGTTCACGGCTAGACAGGGAGGAGTTTGATACAGGGATTTGGATTTTTATGCAATTAAAATGTTTTTGACCTGTATATTGACAAGTTGACAATGTAAGAGTTTGAGTTTTGACAATGTAAAATGATACATTTTCACATACTACACTTTAGTGTATGTTAAAGCTTTTAAACATCAACTTGGTAAACACACTTCCATGTGAAGCCTATTGTTGCAGTACCTAATTAGTGACTTCATGTTGGTTGATCATTGACTAAGCTTACGGCACAGTGCTTGGCAAACAAATTAATGTTAAATTAAATCAATCTTTATTTCTGCTTCTTATAACAGCTTCAGTTATGTTTTGTTTAATTGTTTATGGTTATTTATTGTCTTATGTACGGTGGCCTTGAGTGGTTTGAAAGGTGCCTCAAATAAAATGCATTATTATTATTATTATTTCCTGTCTGTTTGCTGTTGACATTGGGTTGGATGACTTTGTAGATAGAAATCCTCATAAAAGTGAAATGCACAAAACAAATAACCCTAAAAATAATCAAATATGCAGATTTTCTCATAATGAATTTTATTATTAATTGTGCACTCTTATTTTTATGTAAAATAATTTAGTCTGTCTCTTCATGCAGAGTCCCCTCGACCGAGCACAGTCTGCCAAGAATAAAGGCAACAAATACTTCAAGGCTGGCAAATATGATCATGCGATCAAGTGCTATACAGAAGCCATCGGCCTATGTCCCAAAGAAAAAAAAGGAGATCTGTCCACCTTCTACCAGAATAGAGCTGCAGCTTATGAGCAACAGGTTTGTCTAGGTCATGTGATCATTTGAATCCTCTGTAAAGTGTGTTTGATTTATGAGGCATTGCTGTTTTTGTGTTTTAGATGAAATGGACCGAAGTGATACAGGATTGCTCTCAGGCAGTTGAGCTGAATCCTCGCTATGTAAAAGCACTTTTCAGGCGTGCCAAGGCACTGGAAAAACTGGATAACAAAAAGGAGTGCTTAGAAGGTTCGCTTCAAGTTATATGAATTGTTTTTACTATTTGAATTTTGTTAAAAATTAGTTTTTGAGATGAAAGAATTTAATTTTAAAGTCACGTGTGATGCTTTTTAGTTATATTCACATTTGAGTACCCTATGTTTTTTAAACGATTTGCTGTATATATTTTTTTCAGAAATGAAATGGCTACCATTAGTTAGAATTGAATTGAATTGAATTTTTATTTACAAGCATGACTTGTTTGATGAAATAAATATGAAATAAATGAACAATACAACACATAGGCAGAAATTATAGAGGCATTCACAATTAACTGATTTGTTGTTACATGTTTCTATAATTTTGCACCAATTAACTTTTAACATGTTTTGCTTGCTTGACATTATTTTTGTTGTGCAAGTTGCTTTGCAAAGTTATGTTGCAGAGTATGATGTTGACAATGTGACACTTTCCAGAAAAAAAATGATCATCAAAAGAACTTTTTTGACAGTCCTTGGTGGATGTAATATGTTTAGTTTATTTAAAAATATGTTTTTACTTTTTGTAGATGTGACGGCTGTATGTATTTTGGAGGTTTTCCAGAACCAGCAAAGTATGCTACTGGCAGACAAGGTGTTGAAACAGCTGGGAAAAGAAAAGGCCAAAGAAAAATACAAGGTGGGAACGAGACTGACAGATTTCATATTTCAGAATTTTCTGTTTTGTGAACCTTTAATTGTTTCAATATACAGAGGGAAACTTGATTATAAGATTGTTCTCAATGAACCGCAATGCATCTTTTCTCCAGGATTATCAAGTTTATCTCGTTAAATAGATAGATAAAACAGATTAAATAGATTAATTAATATATTAAATAGATGCTAATAACAGCAAAATAAATGCAGTAAAATAGAAATAGAAGCTAAATTAAAAAATCATTGTAAATCTGTTTTTACAGAGGAATTTCGCTAAGAAATAATACAAAATGTGAAAAATTCCATTTAAAAATGATTACTGCGTAGTCTTTAGTGAAATAATTAAAAATTAACTAATTAGTATAAAGCTCATCAGTAAATACCAGCTATTTATTAACAGATTTAATTCTTTTTCTATTTTCAAACATTTTCTCTTCATGAAATATTATAATAATTCACAGGCATAATGTCTTTGCATTTGTCCTTCAGAAGGACAGCATAAGCATCTGCTTTTGCAGTTTCAGTCAAAATCCTATATAGACTAATTTAAAAAAAGATTATGTATAATAGGGCCACAGCATTTACAATCAAATAATGCATTTATTTTTATGATACGTCTGTATAATTTTTGTATAACATATCATTATTTTGTTCTTTTGCTCTTCTCAGAACCGAGAGCCCCTTATGCCATCTCCTCAGTTCATCAAATCCTACTTTAGCTCCTTTACTGATGACATCATTTCACAACCCCTACAGAAGGGGGAAAAGAAGGACGAAGATAAAGACAAAGAGGGTGAGGCATCAGAGGTCAAAGGAAGGTAAGCAAAGGGCATTATTTTGTCCATATACTTGTACAGGGATTGCTTTGTTGGTAGTGTTAGTTGTTGTTGCTTTTAAAATGTAACGTCGTAATTTTAAATGTCGGGCGTAATGCCCAACCAAAAAGCCTACAGATTGTTAAACTGTACAAGAGTTTGAAATGTGTGTGAACTGAACTAGGGCTGCAACTAACGATTATTTTAATGATCGATTAATCTGTCGATTATTTTTTCGATTAAACAATGAATCTGATAAAAAAAGAAAATCATTCATTTCCAACCGTTTATTCAAAAAAGCTCATCCCTTAGCTGTTATGTTACTACTACTAATAATAGTACTAATACAGGGTCTCCGCAGGGTTGTAAAAGGTAGTAAATGAAATTAGCCAAAATTAAGGCCATTAAAAAGTATTAAAAAGTAATAAACGTCATCTGACGAGGTATTAAATTTTCGAGCCCAGTTTTTTAGATAAATTTTCAATTTGTGTCAAGTGTAGGCCTTTATTCTAAATTTTGCGTAGATTTATTTATATGTTGAGAGTAGGACCGGAGCGCTGTCATATGAAGTAGAGTTTGCGCGCGAGCTGAAACAAACTGGCGGGTACCCGGCTGGCTTGCTGCCAACCCTATCGGCGAGCTCGCCTTTGATTCAGTAATTAAATTAAAACATAGGGAAATGCAAGTTTTCAGCCTCAGGCTTGAGGACGCAAGATTTAAAGATTGGCCTATGCCTTTACAGTAGGGATGCCTAATTGATGTTGTTTTCAAATTCAATAAAAATCACTTGATACACAATTTGCAGTGGTGCTCATTCATTTTTGGTGGGTGCTCCTAAATATTTGAATTTGGGTACACCGGTGCTACCAAGTAAAAAGAGTAAATTTCGAGCCACGACACACGAATTTATTGCCACAGTTCAGCACGGTTGTCTAACTGTTCCAAGAATTCCGGGCCGAGAAAGGTTAGTAATCGTACCGTGCTGTTCCAGGCTGAGTGGAGAAACAACCGTAACCATACCGAACTGTTCTTAGAAGAGCAACTATTATTATATTTTGCAGAAAGCTATATGACATTGATTAAAAACTATGGACAAAGGCCCACTGTGACACCTTGATTAATCCCTCTGCTTTACTTAAATGTGTTATCTGCAATATATTATTCCATTTGAAAATATATTACATTTATGCCACTACATTTGCAGCTCGTGTTCAGCTCTTTTTTTGAAAGTATTAAAAGGTAAAAGGTATTAAATTCAACTCAAGAAGTTCTGTATATACCCTCTAATAATAATAAAACAAAAAAACAAGTAGTTTTGTCCTGTTTTTAATCCAAATATCTAAATATTTTTTAATCGAGATACAAACTAGACACATGAAATAGCATAAGAATTGTCTTGTTTTCCGAAAAAACACCTAAAAATTAAGTGATTGTTTGCTTAAAACAAGTTAAATTATTTGTGAATTGGGTAAGAAAAGTAATATTAATGAGATGTAATCTCAAACAGAAGTTTTACTAGTTCACATAAACGTATAAGTGATCGTGATCTATAACAAGAGATGGACGTCGCCATATTTACTGCCGGCCGTACTTTTACCTCATTCATAAAAAGCAGAACACTCTGGATTTAGCATGTAAATCCATCAGTTACTCCGCAAATACATGCAAGTAAGTATCTGGTGAACTTAGAGAAGAGTAGATTCAACTTTAGTTACTTTCACTGTGTATCTATTATGAATAAAACACTTCAGCAAATTATATTTGAATGGATTGTTAGACTCTCTTGTGTGTTTTACAAACTCTTAGAAATGTTTTGTTTTATTAGTACTTGTGTGTATTTAGATGTCTAAAACAAATTAAGCATTAGGTGGTTAAAACGCTGCATAATTGTGATAATAAGACACGTCTTTCTTAGTGGGGTTAAATTGGTTTTGCTTTCGGAAAAATAAGAAAAAAAAGCACTTTTCCTACAGTCCCTTACTGAAAGCTCTGCTCAGCACGAGGTCTCTCGGGCTCAGTGCCAGACATCGTGCCAAAGCTCAGTTTGATTTTTTTCAGTTGCCGCTCTAAAGGTTAACGAGCTAACACTAACTTGTCATGCTTGTCAAGACTTGACGGTCCTCACTCCAAAACGAAACAAAAGTAGGATTCTGTAGAGATTTACTCTAATGTTGCTCCCTTCCTCCTTATCCCTGTCTATGAAGCGGCAAACTCTGTATCAGTGCACGAAAGAAACTGTGTTCACTCCACTCCACGCTCAACTAAAGTGTTTTGTTAATAATCAAACGTCTCCGTGTTGCGCAACACAACGTATCGAAATTTGAAATTACGAAATTCAATGCCATTGCTTTAAGTAATTGATTTTCATCGATTTAACCGATTCGTTGTTGCAGCCCTAAACTGAACATGAATAACTTCTCAAAATAAAAAAACTTTAAACTTTAAATAATTTTTATAGCCTACACATGAAAAAGAAAAGTAACATGGAGAGATTAAGCCATGAAGTAATTCTCATTTTATTTTATGGATGCAAACAAATTTGACAGTACATCAAAACATACATGCAGAAAGCTGCGAGCAGAAAAGGATGAAGGAAGTGAGAACTGGTTCTTGATTATCAATCACAAACTCATTAATGTAATCTAATCTTGCTGTCAGATTGTATACTACCATAACTCATGAGCTTGAGCTTCCGTAAATATTTAGGTGGGGCGCTGAGTTATGTTAAAACCTAAGGGTAGGTTCCGTTAGAAAGGGCTTATCCCTATGCCTTAATCGCTTTGGAGGGTCCCTTTAGAAGCGATTAGAGCATAGGGATGAGCTCTTCCGAATTAAGTGCAGTGTGTGACACCAAACAACTTCTGCTGAAAAGTTCATGGCCTAATCTGTCCATCAGTTGTATTTTATAAAATAAAAAAGTGGCCAGTTTTGAGCACTTTGGTTTGGAATGACACTTCAATATGGTGGCCATGATTTGTTTTTTTCACTCTCGGGTGCCCTTTGGAGTGTGATTTGTATTTGGAGAACACTTCAAGTTTATTAGTTCAACACAAAACTAACTGTACATTGTATCTCTTGACTATAGGTTATGTTTTAACTTGCACACTGCTGGTGCAGCTGTGTATAAATGTATACAATGTATAAAAAGTAGGGGTGTCAAAATTAATCGTTTCTTCGGTGCACCGCGATGCAGACGCGGACAATTTGGTATCGGTTCAGTAATAATCATAACCGGTTATTACTGACTTCATTTACCTCATATGCGCTCTGTCACAAGGGAGACGATCGCGAGTATTACTACTTAATACTCATAAACTGTGCACAATTTCACTGTGTGAGTTTGAGAATGAAAGTAGCCTACTCCATTTCTCTCTCTCTCTCTCTCTCTCGCTCGCTCGCTGTCTCTGTCTCTTTCTCTCTCACACACACACACAGTGGCCCATTTGACCTGCTGGCGTGGCTTTTCTTCTCCTCGGCTGTTTTACAGCGTTACTTTTGGATACAGAAACGAGCGCGTGTCTGCAGAGTTTTCTCCACCGTGTCTATCATAGATCAGCTGTGAGATCGCCGCTGTCGTCTGCTGCTTATCATTCATCTGAAGAGCATAGCGCGCAAGAGCCAATCGCAAACCAATCAAACCCAATCAAAGGGGTGTAGGAGAACTAGACAAGGATCAGAAATTGAGCTGGATATTTATATTTGTTTATATTATTTGCTTAATGCTCGTTTTTTTTCAAAGTTACAGTTTATATATCTGACTGTTTGTATTAAATGACACAATTGTATTACAAATAATAACCTATATAAATATAAATATATTCATACATTTTAATATAAGAGCTGCTGCTGTGAAAAAAATATAAAAGCATCGTCAATCAGTGGCGTAGCGCAAAATGCGGAGGCCCCCCTGCAGGGATCGCTGACGGGGCCCCCTGATGAAGAGGGGGGGGGGGGGGGGGATACGTCATACGCCAATTTGCATATCACTGACGTCATCACGTTTTACCGTTTCTGTTTGTTTTACAGCCTATGGTTAATAAAGGGGTATTTATAATTGCACTACACTTTATATAAGCATGTTTATTAAACTAAATTCATTGCTGTTTGAATACAGTATGTCATTATAGATGTGTAGTGTATGTGCAGTAATCTCTCATATGTAATAAACTCAGACAAGTTCACAAACTGTCACTAAAATATCTGTGATTGTGAACAAGAAAAGAATAAACGGTCCAAATAAATTGTTAAAATAAAGTAGAAGTAGATCGGTTTGACTGTACAAGGGAAATACCTTCACACTGCCTGTGCTAAATCATTTGTCGTCGGTACGCAGAGGGGTGATCTGCTCTCGGGCTGCAGATGAGAGAGGCTGCTGTACGCGGACTGACTGGGCCGCCTGTCAGTGCTGTGAGGCGGGGGAGGGGTCAGCGGCATCACACGCAGCTCGTTGAGAAGAGTAGGGACGGTACAATATGGACAAGTGACAGTCTAAAAAAATCTCCAATAACACACAAAAAAGTCGCTAGATTTGTCGTTAGGGGGGTCTGAAAAGTTGCTAAATCTAGTGACAAAGTCGCTAAGTTGACAACATTGGCGGCAAGCAATCAGAATGAAGTAGTCCACCGCTTGAGAGGTGTTCAGAGAACACAGACCTGTGAACTTTGGTTCCGACCACAGTTGTTCCCAAGAGTTTGATTATTGCGGTTGCCGGTTGATTTTCAATTATTGAAAATCGCGACGACGCGGGGCCCCCTAATCACGCGGGGCCCCCCTGCGGTGCGTGCCCTGCGGGCCCATCCGCTACGCCACTGTCGTCAATGCACCAGGATGCACCGAAATATCGAATTGAACCGAATCGATGGCATGATAATCGTAACCGAACCGTGAGACTAGTGTAGGTTCACAGCTCTAATAAAAAGTACTTGAAAGATTTACTTGGTGGTTTATTTAAATTAGAATTAACTTACTAAAGTATTGAGCTCCTCTTTCTGCAGCTCAGGCTACCTAAAGGCAAAGCAGTATATGGAGGAGGAGAACTATGATAAGATCATCAGTGAGTGCACAAAGGAGATTGAGTCTGGAGGCAGATACTCTGCTGAAGCTCTTCTGCTGAGAGCCACATTCTACCTGCTGATTGGCAACGCTACAGCTGCACAGCCTGATCTTGACCGTGTCATCAACATGAATGATGCCAGCGTCAAGGTAACAAGATTAGGCTCAAGAAACATACTCATTCTGCAATTTTATCAGCCACCAAATTACAAATTAAACTTAATGTCCTGTGTGTGCTGTTGTGTGGAATTACAAAAATGTATTACTTGTCAGTGACGTTGTCTGCCTACTTTTTTGGAATAATTGTTGTGTAGCTTCTTTATGTCCTTTTTGGTGCTAATGAGTCTTTTTGATATGTTTCAGTTGCGTGCTAATGCCCTCATTAAACGTGGAAGTATGTACATGCAGCAGCAGCAGCCCCAGCTCTCCACGCAGGACTTCAACATGGCTGCAGAGATCGATCACCGTAATGCAGATGTCTATCACCACAGAGGACAGGTATGACAACTTGTTGTAACTTTAAAGCAAGCATTTGCGGAATGTTTGTGGCCTAATGTGCTCTCAGCAAAGTTGTTTTTCAAATTTCTTTTGAGTCAAGAAGTTTGATATGTTGTGTTACATCCCAACAAGTCTAGGGTTGGGTGGGAACAATAACAAAAGTGTAAATAAGTGAATAAATTAAATGTAAATACTCAATTTAGGGTTTTCCCCTTCTCCTATCCCATCTCATAATGATAACAACAGGTTTATCAAAAAATAACAAGGTTTATTTTTTTTCTTAAACAACAGAAGATATTAGAAGCATCTCTTCGGAAAGGGAATCCAGGCCAAAATAATAAACAAAAAGACAGCTAACTTGCGAGGAAATAATTCTAACTTACCTGCTCAAATAAAAGTACCCCAAATAAAATTCCAACAAACTTCCCTTTCTCCCTCGCTGCCACAAATCAGGAGAAAACATTTTTAAAGTTAATGGCGATTCCCAAACTACAGCTTTCAATTTAAATCTAAAAATAATATATAGTTTTAATAAGTGAAAGAGCACACGGGCTCAATCTAATGGCGCGTAGTAATGAAAATAATGAAATTGTCACCTAATGAAATCAAGTCAATCACACCACTAATTCAGCAAACAATCTGGGGCAGGAGATAGGAGACGCTCGGAACAACAGCAACAGCGGCGGCAACAATGATGGAGATTTGCGACTCGCACCGAGCAGAAAGATTCCTCCTTTGTTCCTTTTCTCCAGCATATATACGCTACCACTCGCAACACAGCGATTTTCGACATTTTCGATGTTCAGTGTGTTAGAGAGAGGGAAGCGTACAGTTCGTTTGCAAATGATGCATGAAAACATAATTTCTGGCATCCACTCAAATATGTGCACAGACAGGATGGTGCAATAAATTATGTGTCTTTTGATTTGTAACGTCAGATGAATTTTGTTGACATCTGAAACATGCTACATCTTGCAAAAAGGGACTACTTTAAATGTCCCACAGTGGCTGAGTTTTGATGTGCAGCATTGCTTTGTAACAACAGCTTTGTTAATTAGAGACCATATTTCAATATTTCAGTTGAAGATTCTGCTGGATCAGGTAGAGGAGGCTGTGGGAGATTTTGACGAGTGTATAAAACTTCGACCAGACTCTGCACTTGCCCAGGCACAGAAGTGCTTTGCACTTGTAAGTAGAGGGTACTATATACGAATGAAAACCATTGAGCTTGAACTGTGTTGACTTTCAGAAAACCTATTATGAGGAATTCTCATTGTCTTTAATGCTCTTTTTTTTCTTTTCTTTATCTTGCAGTACCGACAGGCCTACACTGGAAACAACCCATCTCAGGTTCAGAAAGCCATGGATGGTTTTGAGGATGTCATTAGGAGGTTTCCAAAGTGTGCTGAGGGTTATGCTCTGTATGCACAGGTACTGCTTATCTTGAGCCCATTTATTTCTGATATTAAAGTAGAAGTGAAGCAGTCAGTCAAGTTTACAATATTTTGTAAATTGATTTCCACTTAAATGAAAATATAGTAAACAAATAAATTTTAATGAAACCATTTTGCAGAAAGCTGCATGTTTTACTGTAGTTTTTGAGAGCTAGGGCACCGCCATCTTGGAATATCACGGTGTCTGATTATGGCATGTGGTTGGTTCTGTTCCCTCGGCTGAATATGTACAATGGAAGTAATAGACTGAACACTGAGACTGCAAAGCCTAATTTAACCCAATGTGTGAAGTAAGTTTGGAGCTGGTGCAAATACAAGCATCAGTTGTGTCAAATATATAAAAATATATTTATACTATTTTTCGTTTTTTCTATTGTTTACTGATTATTTTATGCACTTTGGTCCACTCTCTGTATTACACTGCCTAACTGGGCTTCAACTAAGTCCAATGCCTACGTTGTGGGGAGGGCTACTTTTACTTTTTACTATTACAGCCCTCGCTTTTTTCCTGTTTAAAGCAAACTAAGATCGGTGCGGCTTTTCACATGGCAATTTTGTATGTCCTTTATACATGTTGAGATATCGAGTTGATTGACTTGAAAGGGAACATGTCTTGACAATCCACAAAGCATGAAGTCACAGCAATATTCCAAGATGGTGGTGCCTTTGCGCTAAAAGCTATAGTAAAACGTGCCCTTTTCTTCAAAATGGTTACATTAATAGAGTTTGTTTAATACATTTTCATTAATATGGAAACCAATTTCAAAATAATGTAAACTTGACTGACTGCTTCACTTCCACTTTAAGGTTTATTTCTTCAGTCTGATCACAACTGAACAACACTATGCAGGTGTAAGCAGGATCTAAAATAATAACCGATAAATATAGATCTTGATTCTGACCAGTTATGTCTTGCAAAGCCCCTTAGTCTTTATAAATTGACTCTAAACCATGGCTTTTTGGGGCTTATTGCTTTAAGCTTGTCCATTTTCAAGCACTTTCATAGATTCTCTGAAGCACATTTAATTAGGTAGCTTTCATACTGTAGTATGTGGTCAGGTGTGTTTCAATAGCCACATAAAAACCACCAACTCATTGTCTGACCAAACGTGATCATTACTGGACCAAAACAAGGTGTTCATGCATGACTGTGTTGTACCAAAACAAATTATAGTTACCATTCACATTTCCACTAGATGCCTCTAAATGCAAGCAGAAACAGGGTTATTGATGGCGTAACCATCTATGAAAAACTGTGCTTTTATCATCGTTTACTTATGATATTTAACTAAAATGTATTGATTTTTTTCTATTCTTTTCTGTTTTTACTATAGGCATTAACTGACCAGCAACAGTTTGGTAAGGCAGATGAAATGTATGATAAATGTATTGAGCTAGAGCCTGACAACGCCACAACATATGTTCATAAAGGGTTAGTTCCATCATTTTAATGGCTGTAAATATAAAAAAATATATATTTATTTGTCAAAAATAATAATAATAATCGGCTATGTGTTTTGTTTGTAGTCTGTTGCAGCTTCAGTGGAAACAGGATCTGGAAATGGGTCTTGAACTCATTAGCAAAGCCATTGAAATTGACAATAAATGTGACTTTGCATATGAAACAATGGGAACCATTGAAGTCCAAAGGTTGGTGAAGGCTTATGCTACTATTATTGCAACAAATAATAATTTTCTGTTCTTGTTTTTCTTTTTAATTTGTTAGTATTTGATTATCAGAGATGGAACATATATTTGGCCACTGATAATGATCAGGCGAAAATGGCATTTTTGAGTTTGCATCAAAATATATAAAGATATAAGGGTAAAAAAATATACTATTGTGTGCGGCACAGTTTTAATTTATTTTATTGCAGAGACTAAAGTTAACATATAGATATTTAATATTAATATAGTAGTAGAAAATCTGAAAATATATACATTTTCGTAGTCCAAAAAATTATTTCATCTCATAATGTTTATAAAACGTGTAGATGGTTGCTCTAAGCGAGGATAAGATGCTTGCTCTTATCCGCTTTTAACTGTAATATTTGGTATGTCAACCTTTTGCAGCAATTATAGCAGCACATGAAATGGCATAGGTTCAATAATTTTCTTAAGAACTTCTGATGTTCTCTCATGCCTGACCATGATCTCGGCCAAATGCTGATTCTGGACCAAAAGTGAACATTCTGGATGCACTTGGCTAAAAACTGAAAACAAATGATTTGTAATAATTACATATTATTTTATTAAATAACATAAAGTAATTTGTAAGACTTAATATATTTATCTTAAATTATACCAAAAAAAGCACCAGCCAATAAAATAGCCACTTTTTATTGACGGTGAACTAGTCGAGAGGTGTCATTTTACCAGTATTGCAAACGCTGTTGCAAGCGGCAGGAACATGTATTATATAGAAATGTTATTTTGGTGTGTTAGTTGAGCAGAGTTTGTTTTTCCAGTGAGCATGTGTGGTTTATGCATAAGTATGTGAATGAGCAGAACATCCACAGAGAGAGGAATATTGAGCCGTTTTAAACTTGCAAATTGTTTTCTAATAATATTTGCTGGTTGAAAAAAACTGCATTTCTTTTTTCATATTTTTGTCCGCATGATTTAAGTTCAATTTATTATTGTATTCTTTAATCAAAAAAGAAACGATTATTACAAAGCACTTTTGTTTTTTATACGGGTGCATCCAGAGTTTTCAGTTGGTTATGATATAAAGTTCCAAAATTGTGGATATAGCTTGACAGAACTTCTGCATTTGGCTCTGTAAAATCAAACTATGATTTTCTTTTTCCCTACCCACAGAGGCAACCTGGACAAGGCTATAGACATGTTCAACAAGGCCATTAACTTGGCCAAATCAGAGATGGAGATGGCCCATCTGTATTCCCTCTGTGATGCTGCTTATGCCCAGACAGAGGTGGCCAAGAAGTATGGGCTCAAACCTCCCACGCTATAACTCTTGCTTCCTTTTTCCACTCTCAACTGCCGGGTCAGAATACAAATACCATTATCCCACGTTTTCTTTTGCTTCATTATAAAGATCTTCATTACCAATTAAAAGGAAGTCGGGACAGGTTCTGCTACCACACACTTACCAGTTTTTGAGGACTGGAAGAAAATGATGGGGGAGCAGAAAAAGGAGATGAGAAAAAATTAAAAAAAGCTTGTAAAAAGACTGGTGGCTGCTCTGTTGGACATAAAAATAATCAGACGCATAGATTACATTCTTCTTTGAGTATCTCATAACTTACAGACAGCTCTCACTTGTTCATGTTCAGCCCTTTCTGCCAATTGTGACAAATGTGAAACTTTTTGATTTAATAATCTTAATTTAGCGGCATCTATTAACATCTTTAATCAGTAATTATTTTCTTTCTTTTTTTTTTCCACATTAAGGCATCCAGATTTATTTAGTTAATTTTGCATATACCATCAGCAGGACTGCTTTACGGATTTAAGATTTGATTCTATAATGTGCGAATGTTTTGTCTTGTCACTGTCACATCCTAGCAATCACATTTGCATTCTTTGCAAATGCAAAATTAAAGTTTTAGTTGAGATGTTTATGTTGTAAATCGGTTAGTTCTTGGTGTGTCGCTGTTGTTTTGACACTGTTTATAAGATGGGGTTATTTTTGGGTAATTTGGCCATGCAGTCGTTCATTTGTTTATTTTTATCATCGAATTTTTTTTCTTTTTTATATTCAGTGCAACTGTGGGATTTAAACTATACAATGCAAATTATAAAGTAATGTCAGACGTATTCAACCTACTTTAAACAGAGAAAACTGTACAGTTAGTGTGTAAGAAAATGTAGCTGAAGTAATTTAAAAGCCTCTCAGCCTTGTACAAGGATTTTGCTGTGAAATTTTTCTTGTCTCCAAACTGAAGCACTAAAATGTTAAGCGGTGAAAAACAATTATCTGTAAAAACAATGTTGCACTTTTGTGCAAAAACATAAACAAACCTTAATGTTATGAATCACCAAATGACATTCCTCCCCCTTATATCTTGCAAACTGCACATATCTGATTTTATTTCTTTAGTTCCTCTGTGAAATAAATAATATCATTGAGGCATATTTCTGAAGAATGACTCCCTTTTTGGAAAAAAATTATGGAATTAATATTAACATCATATTTGTCCAGTTCTTTCTTCATACTCTTTGTTTTTTTTCCCGTTTTTTTTTATAATTTGTAAAATCTTGACTGATTGAGTTATCTTTATAGTGGCATGTTCTTAAAAACACACAGTACATGTGTGTTCTTATGTGAATAAGATGAAATCCTAAGTGGGTGTTTAAAAAAGTCTATTCCGTTTTCATTTAATTAATGAACGGTAGCTTTACTGATTTTAATAAAAGACACTAAAATATTTTTCTTTACATGACTTCTTTCCCATATGCACTCATTCAATCATTCTAAATTAAAATTTTAAGTTTGTTGGATGATGACAAAATGGCATTGCTGTCTGAATTACTTCAGATGTTTTACTATATTGTAGCTCAATTTTTTAAATCATTTTCGAGTGAATGTTACACAGCACATGGCTCTGCCTTTACTGTGACCAGAACTAGTTTACAATAGGATGTGATCAATTGCCTATGCATGTGAACCTGGATTATTAAGTATTGCCTAATATGTAAATGTTTACACATGCTTGCTTATTGCTTATTTTCTTTTTCCAGCCTGATAAGTTAGTAGCAGTGGTACAGACCGGTTTTGAGGGAACAAGTCATTCCAGCCTGATGCATGTTAAAAAAAATCACAAATGATAAATAAATAAAGTATTGATTTCAAACAAACTGTGCATTGCAAGCAATTTGGCACCATCTAAAGGTTAAAAATGGATTTGTTGTGCTTAATCTGTTGAAAGTACCTGTGCAAAGATTACACCTCCTAAAAATAATTTAAAAATAAAACAAAGGGGAAAATGTGATGTCAGTGAAGTATTTCTGTGTAATAATAATGTATGATGACGTCAAATAAAGAAGCAAGTTGTCTACCAATGTTTATAAAGTTAGCTTGGTTTTGTGTTTTATTTCTTATTATTCTATGTAGTCCTAAATGCATGGCCATCCCACACTCAGGGCCGGCAGATGAAATGATTTTTTATAAACATTTATGAATTCATTTTTTTTATTTTATTTACAAATTTTATGAACTAAATGAAACCCCTTAAGGCTGCATTTACCTTCTCAAAACACAATTAAAAGCATAATCGTGAAATTATTTCAATTGAAATAAAATTTTCTGGTATTTTTAAAAGCTATTATATAAATTGTCATAACCATTAATAATTAAACAAATTTGAACGTGTAACATTTATGCATTTATACATTTATGCTTTCAATGTTTATTTGATTGTTGTTGTTTTTTCAAGGTGGTCGTTTACACTGTCCTGTTGAGTATACAAAAGAACAAAAAATGATAGTCAAATCGAGGAGTTTATAAAATAGACTTGTACATTCTTATACATGTAGAATCTATTTGCATTTTGGCAGCTGTGTTATGTGTGCTGTTGGTAGAAATTCAAATTTTATGAATAAGTACATTTACATAGCCTTTTCTAACTGCACACCCAAAGTGCTTTACAATCATATCAGTCTTCTAGATGTAGCTTTGCACAGAAATCTGATTCAATTTTTAAATAAGATCAAAGTATGTGTATTTGAACTACATTTGAACTGGCTCATTGAACTGAACTTCCTGAAAAGAACCGGTTTGCAGAAATGAATCTTAGTTTAGATCACTAGGCAGGGTCTGATATAACAAATACATAAAATCATTAAATATAACCTATAAAAACAGACAACAAATAAAGTGATAATATATATTACATAATTTTACAGTAAAATTTGTTCTCACAATATGGAAAACAGATTATAGGCTATTACAAAATATGTACATAATAATATAAACTATATTCACGACATTCCATAATATTCACACAGCAAATGCATCATGGGGATTAAAAAAATCTAATAAAAAATGTATTCCAAGACAAGTCAATTCAATAGCCAGTGAAATGATGACATGAAGTGAGAATTTAGTGAACGAGGTGTGTGTGTGTGTCATGTCAACAAGCGGCTCTCTAAAGTCGCGTCCTGTGTAGCCTAGACAAGCGTCAAGCGCGTGCGTGCAATCTAGCGACAGGACGTTGGTATTTACGACACATTTTGACGTGGACGTCACCACAGCAATGGCGGATGCTGTAGGGGAAGTGCTTGAAGGCAGCTGGTAAGTAAAACCTACTGATCATTTTGTTTGCGGTAACATTAGAAAGATTTGCTGTTTTCACGCTGATATTATCGTTTGGAGGTTTAAGTAAGGATATTGTTGTTCTGACTCTTGCGACAGCCGCTGTAGCGGCAGGGAGACAGCGATGCTGTGCTAAGCAGCTAACGTTAGTCTGGCTAGTCGAAGCAGCCAGTGTATTGTTTGGAGACTCCAGCTGTTTCTTAGACTTTCTCAATTGTTTGACATTTGCTTTTAAAAATATTTTATCAATTTTCTTTTAAGCGATTCAATGTGTCATTATTTTTTTTTTATAAAGCTCGATAATGTTGGCTTTGTCATTTGCTAGGTGTGTTAGCGTAAAACACAGACTATAACGTTAGCTATCAGCAGATTTCCTGTAAGTTACATAGCATATAAAATAAAATGTATTTATTGTTCAGTTTTTACTGTATAAGTACGTTATAAAAATACAATTCAGTTCACATTTATTTCAATAACGCTTTTCATGGTACACATTATGTCAAAGCAACTTCACTGAATAAGAGCAAATTTGTACTTTTACAATGAATAGTTAAAGGGTTATCGGCTTTTTTTGTAAAAGTAATGTTCACATTCACTGTTCTGTTCAAGGACCACATTCAAGCAAGATGAACATGATTAAAATGCTGATTACATTATATATTGATGCTTAAAATGACGAGTTTTTTTTTTTTTTTTACCAAGATTTATAGTTGGCATCATGATGTCCTCATAGGAACTGACACATTTCCACAGGTCTTGGTTCATCTAAAGTCTTTGGAAGAGGCTGAATACAAATGAGTACTTAGAATAGGTATCCTGAGTAGCCACAAGAAACAAACCGAGGAAAGTATAGCTTAGCAGTTATTCATAATACTTCAAGCAAATCTAAACATTTATTTACCAACAAACATTGATGCAGTAAAAAAAAAGAGTTTTGAAATATATTCTTAATTTAGTATCTTAATGTTGATTTAAACTGTGTTAAAGACTGACCAAACATTTTCTGGAAGGACATTCCTAAATGCCAGAGCCTTTTGTCAACATATTCTACCTCCATTGGAGGACTTTGCTGTCCTAAGTACCATTAGAACTCCTGAGTTTTCTGACTTTGAGAAAAAAAGTGTGGTGGTAGATGGATTATAGAGTGATAAAAGGCAAGATAGAAGGTTATAAAAAAAGGGTTAGTTCACTCAAATGAAAAAAAAAAAATAATGTGCTATACTGACATAGAAAAGAAGAAATTGTTGAATAAAGTTGTTATTTTTGTTTTATGTGTTTACAATCATATTTGTGTAGCAACTTTTTTTTTAAGTATTTTGGTGTTTTCTGCACTTTAAATGAGTTGGAAATGTTGACAGTATATCTGATGGGTTTATAACGACATGAGGGTGAGTAATTAATAACATTTAAATTTGAGGAACTAACCCTTTAATCAAACAGTAGCTAAACCTTTTAAAGTTTTGTAGTTAGGTAGTAGTAACTTATAATCCATACTGAATTTAATGGATAGCCAGAGTAGAGAAGATTAGAGATCCTGTAACTCAGGGGTGACCAATCTCAGTCCAGGAGGGCTGGTGTCTATGCAGGGTTTAGTTCTAACTTGCCTCAACACACTTGCCTGGGTGTTTCAAGTACACCTAGTAAGACCTTGATTAGCTTGTTCAGGTGTATTTTGATTAGGGTTGGAGCTAAAGTCTGCAGGACACAGGCCCTCCAGGAACAAGTTTGGTGACCCCTGCTCTAACTGTTTAAACTAAAATAATGTTTGATATATAATAATGGAGTTAGATATAATTAGCCTTTACAGACTTTGTGACATTTGAAGTTATAATTACAAAGTGGGCAGTTTTATTATTACTTAAAATAAAAACAAATAGATACAAATAAATAAAATAATCATTATGTGGGGTGATTTTTATTATTTTTATTATTATTATAAATTATTTTTTATTGTTATTATTTTTACATGAGAATTGCTACTTTGAGTGTTCCATCTTTGTGGAGAAAAATTCACGCTGAGCACAGCAACATCTACTTTATCTCCCATTTTTCAATGCTTGAAGTTTAGGAGTGTTTTCTTGTGACAGCTCAAATATGCTGACATCTTATTAACGTCAAACTTTTTTTTCTGTTTTATGGTTGTTTTGTCATAACTAAGTACAGTGTTGTCAATACAAATAAAGGATAGCTTAATAGTTTCATAATATTTTTTAATATGTGTGAGTTTCTTGTTTAATGTTCTTTAGTATAATATTTTTAGCTGAAAATGCTGCTGGTACTTAGATCGTCAAAAATATATCTAAAATAAAACCAATACCTCTGTTCTTAACTATACGTTGAAGTTTTATGTCCAGTATGAGAAATTACTTTAATTTGTAGCCTTGACAAATGGTTCTGTGTTTGTATTCATGTGGAAACTCACAGATGAGCTGAAATTGTTTACAACAAAGAGGTGGACATGCATGTTGTATTGTCAAAATTGTATTAAAAATTAAGCTAAAGTTCTTTAATGTGCTTATAAAAGAAAAAGTCAATCAGTAAATTTTTTTGAGTGACACGAGGGTGAGTAAATTAATAGCAACTAATCATGTAATCTCTAACATTCAGAAACGCACATTAATTACATTCAATGTCAGTAGTGGGATTAAGCAAATTAAAGAGCAGATGACAAAATGATCAGAACAGCTTACGTAATTAATTAGTAACACATTTTTTTGGGTTATAAAAAATGTATTTGTTTGTCAGCATCAGTACCAACTGACTCTTCTGTGCTTAGTAAGAAGCTAGAAATCCAGGATATCCCATTGCAGTTGCTGAATAAACCCAGGGTTTAACTGCTTTCACTGATTCATGAACAAATAACATTTTCATAAGGATTCATGAACATGACTAATAAACACATAGAATCATCTCACAGAAGGATTTATTTTAAACACTTGTTGAATTTACGAAGAGCTGTTTGAAGTTATTAATAGGCTTTGCAAACAGATGTCATTAGCATGATAGCATGATTATCTTCTATTTCAGAGTTTCTTAAACTCTGTTCTTGAGGGCTGATGTCTTGCAGATTTGCCTCCAACTTGCCTCAACACAGCTACATGGAAGCTACTAGTATTTATAGTTAGAGCTTGGTTGGTCTGTTCGGGTGTGTCAAATTGGGTTTGAAGCTAAACTCTGCAGGACACCAGTCCTCCACTGAAGACAATGAAATAATTTCTAATAATGAATTCAATATTGTGTAGCTTGAATGTTGATTCTGTTTTGAATACTGCTATGTGTAGACCTGTCTTAAAAATTGACTTTTGATTACAGAACCTGCTTTACTGACATAATGTACATGAAAATTGCCTGTGGTTAATTTTGCAGCCTAATGTATAATGATTACTCTGGTCTTTACCATTTCCTCTTCTATAGAATAACATTCACACATATTCCCAGTTAACCTTCTTGTATTCAGAAAAGGAATTAGTGTGCCCCAATAGTAGTATTGAAAGAATTATTTCAAAGTTGCCAGGGTGGTCTACTATTTCCAATATTCAGCGTGCATAAATGGTTCACTTTTACAGCTAATATTGTCCACAACACACTGCACAATGGATTTAAATTTAATTAAAACTAAAAACCCAGGTAAAAAATGCTCCAAAATGGTTATATCACCATGCGAACAAGGTTATTATAGTTAACGAAAACGAACAAAAAACGAAAACTAAAATGTAAAATAATTGTCGTTAACTGAAATAAAAATAAAAACGAGTTTTTTAAAAAAACTAGAACTAACTAAAACTGTATTGTGTACATGCAAAACTAACTGAAACTAACTAGAATTATAGCAAAAACCTCATTCGTATTTATATTTGTAACTGTATTTAATAAATAATCTTACTGTAAGCATTTTAGAAGTAAATATAATCCGCGCTGCAGGTGTTTGTGTTTGACCCTTTCGCACCTCAGAGTCTCCTGCCGCCATTGGCCAGATCAAGCCAGTTCTCCTCTAGGCATCCTCTCTGTTGCTCCCGCGACAAAAACAAGTGGACATGACAGCAGCACGGTGACAGCATTAAATACAGAGACTTAAAACTATTACTTTAACACATTTGTGCCAAATAATGGGTTTTATTTCTGTATCGCGATCGCGAACGAATCTTTGTAACCGGATCTTCTAAGTGAACCGGTTGAACAAGTTCACTAAATCGAACTGAATCATTTGAAACGATTCGCGTCTCCAGGAAGCACTCATCCACCCACTTCTTACTTAATAACAAGACTAATACCCCCCTCCGACTCTAAATAATCCAATATACGCTCTCATTCCGTTAGTAGAACAGTAACGTTGAGAGGCGGTGAACCGATCATACTGCGCATGCGTGACAGTGAACCAAACACAAACGGTACAGCCTGCTGTATGACTGAACTGAACTTGGAACAACTGCAGCGCGGGTAAACCGAGGGCTTAAATGAGAGGATCTGGTGAAAAACGTAAGTTTATTTCATAACAGACAATCGTAATGAAATTTAAATAAGTGTAGCATGATTCAGTTGGGTTTACAGTTAGTAAAACTTTACTGTGTTTTTTTTTACTTTGGCTGAGGTTTTATTATACAATATTTATACTGTTGATTTTGAATCTTCCACCTAACAATGTCCTCATTTAGAAAAAAAACTGAAACTAATACTATAACTAATAAAAACTAAACTAAAACTAAGACATTTTAAAATATAGAAACTAATAAAAACTAGGAAATCTGCCTCTAAAACTAATAAAAACTAACTGAATTTGAAAACAAAAAGTCAAAACGAAATAGAAACTAAAACTAATGAAAAATCCAAAACTATTATAACCTTGCATGCGAAGGGCATCTGTTAGTGAAAATCTTGTTGACCATCGTATTAAAGTGTCCTTCCAAAACAAAGTGTTTAAAACTGGCCTTTTCCATTGTAGGGTTCTGAAGGGTACACACACAAATCCTTTTCCCGCCCCCATAATATCTTGCGCAGGAAAGTTGTTGTCAAACACCATGTTAAATTCGCAAAGGCTCATCTCTATGCCTTTATTCTCTATGAGCCCTTCTAAATAGATTGCACTGAAATTGTTAACAGTGTTAAGCTACAAACATGGTTGACATGCAAGATGGTTAAGTAGAGAGGCTTGGGTAAAGAGGTTGAATGATTATTGACATTATTGATTGGGGTCATTATTGATTATTTAACCCGAAGGAAAAAATTTACTTCATGTTTTCAGCATCATGTTTCATCTGCAATAACATCAAACTTTTATAAAGACACTAATGGTCATCCTGAATGCAAACCCCCTGAGGAGCTTTTATAAGCATTTCTATACATATTTCTATTTCTATAAGCAATTTCTTCACAAAAAGAGTTTTTGAATCTAGTTTAAGTTGACGAATGGGGAACACCAATCAAAATCATCCAAATGCACCTAAAGAGCCTTTGTGGTCTCTTACTCTTTTGCTGAATATTGGCCTTCCTGTTTTCACAGACAATGACTGGTATGGTAAATGACTCCATAGGAGAGATAAATGGAGAAAAGTATGCATGATGGTGGTCTCTGATGTTGAAGTCCAGTTTTGATCACAGATATTCTTGAGCTTCACTTTAATTCCTGTTGCACTTAAAAAGAATGTATTTGCTCTAAAGCCTTCAAACTTGGGAATTCACCCAAAATGTATGAATGCGACAATTTGCATTTTCTCACCCCAGTTTGGAATCTGTGGTATGTATTGTTGCTAGACAGCTTTCATCTTCCTGGTTAAGAGTGTCTCAAAGTCATTGTGGAAGCCGTACTTTCTATCACCTTTCTTGGTAGTACAAGTACACCTTTACATTGTTTACATGTTAGAAAATTCATGTATTACTGCTATAATACATGCTCGTTAAATAAATAATTGCCTGGTGTTTTACCAGCAGCTGACGAGGTTCTGGCAATGTTGTTTTCTGTATTAGCATGTGTATGAGCATTTCTTTCAGTTTTTTCTTCTTCATGGCTTTTTATCATATGGTACACAGAGGATATCTGTGTTTTACCTCAGCTAAAAATTTTTATTGTTTTGTGCAAATCAATTGTGATGGTTTTAATTCTGTATCTTTATGCTAATTTTTAAAAGCTTTAAAGGAAAAACCCTTGGGTAAAATTGGGTTCTGAGAAACAATAGTGAGAGACTGATCATCTTTTGATAATATTAAACTTGGCAGAACAATAATATTAGTTGAGAATATTGGTACAAATATTGGTTATAATATACCACAATTATATTACCGTATTAGCTGTTTTGTATATAACATATTTGTTGTCCCATAGTTGTAATTTCTGGTAGTTTCAGCTTGGCGCAAGAGTTGTTTTGAGGCTTTGCGCTACGCTGTTTAAATAGCAAATGCATTAGCGCTCATTTGTGCGCTCATAGGCGTTCTGGTCTAAAAAAAAAAAAGAGTTCTGAGGCGGACCGCTGGCGCGTCGCTGTTTTGAGAAACTATAATAGATTTTTCATTATAGACCAAAACTAACCCGGTCTAAACTCCGGCGCAGAGTTCGCCTTATCGACGCCTCGCTTACACACTGCTTAATATGCACAAGAGAGCAATAGGCAAATATCTTTACATATGAAAAAAATTAAATATTAAGGATATATGTATAGGATATAATAAGAATAGATATAGGATATAAATATAAAGGATTAAAATATAACAAAACATATTATTTTCTAGCCTACATTAATATGAAAAATCACTGCTTTTATGTCTTCATCTCGGGAGGCTTTTTCAGTTCCTTCATAACAATTTGCTTTTGTATAATATTATTATTATTAGAGTATTATTTAATATATCCCTATTTATATTTGTTTTATTAAAAACAAGCTTAGATTTGCCCACCTGTCAGGTTTTAGACCATATGGGGCATGGCAGGTGTATTTGGAAATAACTCAGTATTTTGACCACACTTGGTCATTATTGTTCATTTATTCGTTTGCTAGAAATTAGAACTGAATTTAGAAATAGTTTTGAAACAAATCTTTGCGCTTAACAAACAAAGTAAATTATTTATAGGCTCATTGATGTCTGTGCATAAAGGTTTCCCTATCCAAGAGCGAATGTGAAAGTAGTTCCATTATCTCTCATTCTCACGCAGTAGATGCTCCGTTTTACAGTTTTCTGTTAAAAAACTGTCAACTATTAACGGTATTCTTGTGAAATGCTCATTTTTTCCACTTAGACTTACTTTGCGTCCTGTAAATAGCGAATGCGCTCTTGGCGCGACGCAGCTGGGTCTTAAAGGGAATGGGAGATGAGACTCTAATTGGTTTATTCTCAAAACACACCTATAACTCATTAAGAAAATAAACCCAACCCTTTTAGACCATGCGCCTTGGCGCAAGGCAGATTTCCCGTCCTTAAATGAGCAAAAACGCGTCCTGACACGCCCTGAAAGCGTTTGCGCCCTGCGTTTTGCGCTCTGCGCATGGACCGTCAAAATAGAGCCCTAGATGTTTTTGCCTGAGCAATGTTTTTTTTTCTCTAGTTCCTATTAAAAAAATGCATCAAATAAACAGTTTATTATCATTTAATATTGTATTCTTAATATTTTGTAATGTTTTAGCATTTAGTTGCAGTTTCTGTGTGGAGTTTGCATGTTCTCCCCGCGTTCACGTGGGTTTCCCCCACAGTCCAAATACATGTACAGTAGCACTGGTGCATTGGGTAGGCTAAATTGTGTAGTGTATGAGTGTGAATGAGTGTGTATGGATGTTTCCCAGAGATCACAGGGCATCGGCTGCGCAAAACATATGATGGATAAGTTTGGCGGTTCATTTCGTTGTGGCCACCCCAGATAAATAAAGGGACTTAGCCGAAAATGAATGAATAAATGTTTTAGCATTTCTGACAACCAGCATAAATGAGGATCAGTCTACACATACATCCATACATTTTCACATGATTCACTGCTCTAAATGTATGCAAATATATTTATTTTTTAAATTTTGAATGTGCTTGGTTTCACTATATATATAAATTTTTTGTGCTGATTCCTTTTTTTTTTTGTAGAACAAATTATGTTGATCCTGGAAATGTATTTAATTTCCCCCCTATAAGATGTATTACAATATTTGCATAGAATATACCTGTGTGTATGCCATACATTTTTTGTTTTTCAAAATTAGTATGTGGTTATTAACAAACTTGTTTTGTAGTCTTCATTATTAAGGCCTTGTATGCAGGGATGCATGTAATGTGTGCCCATTAAAAAATGCTCAAGGTAAACAAGTTTAGTATTATTGCATGTCAACATGCAGGGTGAGCACCAAATACATTTTGTGGGTTTTGACTTTTTATAAAAAAAAATATTAAAAGAATCTAAAATTTGAGCAGGAGCACTTTTACACTTTTGTTGGATTAACACTGAATTACCTGTTTGTTTTCTTCAGGAATCAGGATTTGGCTGATGCTCTTGACTCTGCAGTATGTGATCTGAACAGTGACCAGGATGGTGTCATCCAGGTTCGAGACCTTTCCCCACCACAGCGGGCCAAATTATGGATGGTAAGTAAAAATTTATCTGAAGTGTGTGTGTCTGATAGGGGTGGAAATCTTACCTCTACCATTTTTTTTGGGTCATAACTCAGGAATGATACAAGTAAAAAAGTAGTTTTGTTTATTTAATTTTTTTTCTAATTCCGATTTCTCTAATAAAATTTCCTGATCAACATATTTCTAGATTCTATTTTGTTTGTTTGTTTTTTAATTGACAAACAATTGCTGGATAAGTTGGCAGTTTATTTTGCTGTGGCGACCCCAGATTATTAAAGGGCCTAAGCCAAAAAGAAAGTCAATGAATGAATGATAGATCTTCAAAAAAGAAATCTCACTGCAATATAACTACTAAAAGTGTTCTGTTTTCTTGAAGCGTAGTAAACTCATAATTATGAAGCAAATGTCATTTAAGCTTGCAGCAACCATAAAACGTATGACAGCATTGATGTAGTATAAACTTAACTACTATACTATACTAAAACTACCATATTTCTTAATACACAAATAATAATATTAAGAATAAAATGACTTTTGCAAAGATAAATAATAATTAATTCAATTGTTTAATTTGACATTTATATAAACTGAAAACTGAATTATATGCACTTTTTTTGTCCAGCAAATTTCATAAAACTCAGAGTATTTGTTTGTGTGTGTATGTATATATATATATATATATATATATATATATATATATATATACACACACACACACACACACACACACACACACACACACACACACACACATATACAGTTGAGGTCAGAATTATTAGCCCCCCTGTTTACCCCCCCCCCCATTTCTGTTTAACGGAAAGTTTTTTTTTCTCAACACATTTCTAAACACAATAGTTTTAATAAATCGTCTCTAATAGCTGATTTATTTTATCTTTTCCATGATGACAGTAAATAATATTTACTAGATATTTTTCAAGACACTTCTATACAGCTTAAAGGGACATTTGAAGGCTTAACCAGGTTAATTAAGTTAACTAGGCAGGTTAGGGTAATTAGGCAAGTTAGTCTACAGAACAAATCATTGTTATACAATATTGAAAAAATATATAGCTTAAAGAGGCTAATAATTTTGTCCGTAAAATGTTTTTTTTTTAAATAAAAAAATGCGTTTATTCAGGCCGAAATAAATAAAACTTTTTCCAGGAAAAAATAAAAATAAATAAAAAATAAATGAATAAAAATAAATAATATATATATTTGTCACTTTTACTCTTTAGACAACATTAACGTTTACAAATAGATAAAAAAATGTTTAAAAAATGAGTGTATAAGATCATTCAAAAAAATTTTGTATGCTAAGTACAAAACCGCTTGACTGATCAGTCTGTGTTGCATCATGTGAAAATCTCAAAATCTCAATAAATCAAATGCTTGGCTGATTAATAAGTGTTTTTGTATATGGCAAAAAAAGAGAGATTGTCTCTTTGCTTTTTAAAAGGGTTTTCTGCAGTCAGTGTTTCCTAAAGGGCTTTAGAGAGCCTCTCAATTGATCAGATGGCCATTAATGAAACCGTAAACCGACTTGAGTGCTGAACCTTTAAAAAGTAAACCCCATGAGGGGGTGAATAAAGCTTATATGATCACTCAGTGAGCTACAGGAGCATTTTAAACTGTCATTTTTTCTGTATTCACTTTCTCATACTTTTTTTCATACTTTTTTTGTTTCTGGTAGTGATGTTGATGGTGTTTGTGTGTTACAGATTGCTCTGAATGTGTCTGGTAAAGGAGATAGTCTGTCCTCATGGGATGGCGTTTTAGATCTACCAGAACAGACGCTCATTCACAGCCGCAGTCAGCAGCTCACTGGTGAATGACCTTTGCACACCTCACCTCATTTCATTTTCATTGTGTCATTTATGTGTAGTGTTGCACTACTTCACATTAACAGAATTGAGGTTCTATAAATGTGGAGTCAGGCACTCTACATTATTGGCCTACTTGTTATTGAAAACTCTATGTAATTTTTTTTTTTTTTTTTTTTTTTTTTTTTTTTTTACACAGAATTACCTCTTTGCAAGTCTAGTCTTTTATGTGCCTTTGTAGTTTTAAGATGCTTTTACTTTAGTATTTTCAAATCATGCCTTATTTGTTAAATATTTTTTAATTTATTGCTAAAGCTTTTTGCCTTTTAAATATTTGTATTCGCAAGATTTTACAAACATTGGGAATTGGCATATAATAGGTTTTGTTGTGAGTTATTGGTCATATAGGCCCTAGTAATAATAGATGGTACAATCAAATCCATCAATCAGTTTGGATTTAAGAAGATTTTTTTTGATGTTCATAAGAACATTTTATTTTTGTCCAAAAGGGGACTGAAAAATCTCAATTCCCTTGATTATTTTTATTTTTAATTTTTTGTCATTATAATTATAAACTATTAAACCATCCTGTAAATTTCAGAGTTTAAAAGCATTCTTCTTTGTCTAGCATTAGCTGAAATGTAAACCAAAATGACTATTCTTTTATGCGCTTTCTTATGGAGTAGTGTGACTAAACTCAACCTTCACATAAGATCAACACCTACTTCTACAGTACATCACTGTCTTTTTAGTCAAGATGACATGTTAACAAGTCACAATAAATCTTATTCATTACATTCTTTTGCCTCAAACAGTGTGCTATGATATGATCAAACAAAAAGTTATATATATATTTTTGCATATAGATGAGCTGGGCATACCAGTGGAGGAAGGACGGGACCTGGTATCAGATGTGGAGTCAGTTATCACCTTTTACTGCAAGTCCAGAAATGTTACATTCACTCCAGATCTCAGTTGGCCACACATCCTCAAACCACTCCTGGGCTTACAGCTGTCCCGCAAAGACCTCTACAACTGCTTCTATGCCATCATGAATAAATATATTCCAAGGTAGAGGTGTTCATATATCTGTATTAAAATGTTGTGCACCAAAAAGTTAAAAAAAAAAAGATAGATAAGTTATTAGGTTTTAATTTTTTCCCCCAAAACACTAGAAATATTTCCATGTAAATATGTTTGTTGTCCAAAATAGTCAAACTTAATATTGTGTGAAAATAGAAATTTAGCTTAAAAACAACAACATTTGTAAGTCAAATGTAGTGATAATATGCATACATTATCTTAAAATATAAGCTTCTTTGATGTACAGTAGCTGAAATAATTGATGCATATTGCCTTTTGCAGAGACTGCATTGTAAAGGGGCGGCCATTTCATCTGTTTCGACTCCTGCTTCAGTACCACGAGCCAGAATTCTGCTCCTTCCTGGACACTAAAAAGATCACTCCTGATTCCTATGCCATAAACTGGGTTAGTCTTAAATCTATTTAAAATATTTGCTCAATATTACATTTGTTCTAGTACAGAGGTGTCAATTGCGCACGTATGTCTGTTACACATATACTGTCTGCAGTGTCTGTATGATCCAGATGCGCTATGTGGTCTGTGTGGATGCAGGAATTGGTTGTTGTGCTTTCATACAGCACACATTTGCAGTGCGCTTGTGTTCACCCATTTAATGTTTTTATTTTTTTTATGTAAAAAAAACAAACAAACATTCAAAAACCTGCAAACATTGCACTTCCTATGCCTTTTTGTTTCCGTTTACATGTTTGTACTAAAAAAAATCTGCCAGTCATAAGGAATTTCTCCGTATCTGGCACTGTAAAAGTCTCAAACGATCACTGTACTGCTGCAGATGCACCGCAACTGGAACTCGCTGCTAGACTGCAGCTGCATGTGGTAAAAGCTGTAATTTGTTAACATGGCAAAATTTGCCCACTTGCCTCTGTCGATCATGGCCTCTTAACCATTCCCATATCGTAAGTGACTTCACATTATCATCTATCCACCAATAAGCCTATTGTGTGGTGCGCAAAAAAATGGATTTTGTGGATGAGGAGATTCCCCCAACTACTGTAAAGTGCTTTGAGTACCCAGAAAAGCTCTATATAAATGTAAGGATTTTGTTGTTGTTGTTGTTGTTATTATTGTTGTTGTTATTATTATTATTATTATTATTATTATATTAGCATGGCCATTGAAAAAATACAGGCCACAATCACACTGCAGATGGAGTATGTGTGAAACAGGCATTTGATGAACAACAACCTGCAAAGTTTAGTTTCAGCTTAGCACAGTACACCTTTCTAGTAATTTCTATTTTTTTCTAAGAACTTGGTTGGGAGTACAGTGTCTTGTCAATAACTCATTTGGACAATACTGGCTTATTATATAAATTTTAACATCTTACATTCCCTAATTTAAATATAATTTGGATCAAATCTGCACAGTGTAATGGTCATAGTCATAAAATGAATCTAATATATGTTAATTTCAGAGGTGTGCTGAAGAATGTACTTTTTGTTTTTGTTTTTGCTTTTGCAGCTTGGGAGTCTTTTTTCGAGCCACTGTTTACCTGAAGTCACACAGGCCTTGTGGGATGTTTATCTCCAGCAGGCCGACCCTTTTCTTATCTTCTTCCTTATGCTCATCATCCTAGTCAATGCCAAGTATGTGTGCAGTTCAGATTCAGTGAACTCGATTGTTACATTTTAATACTTTATGAGATCAAATACATTTGTTGTTGTTTTTTATTTCTAGAGATAACATCCTTATCCAAGAAGGAGACAACAAAGAGGAGATAATCAGTAAATTCTTCAGCAAATTATTTAATTAGAAAATGCAATATTTTATGAAAGTTTGGGAACCACTTGAAAATGAGAAGAATAAAAACGACAGCTCATTAAAAAGTGCAAGTATTAGTACTTTCCCAAATCAGGTGTTTTACATCAAAAATTTTACATATAGTTTTAAAGACAAAAACGTATGTAAAATTATTAAAATAACCCTGTGCAAAATTTGAAAACTCTTGGTTCCTAATAATACTTTGTCGACAGTTTGCCTTTTTTTTTTTGCTTGTTTGAGGGTTGTTCATGAGTCCTTTGTTTGTTCTGAACAGTTAAAATGCCTGCTGTTCTTCAGAAAAATACTCCATATCCTGCACATTCTTCAGATATCCAGCAATGACTACTCGCCTAATAAAAAGTTTCACTGACGCTCCAAAATGAAACATGAAGGGTGCCAGGGAGTGAAAACTTTTTGAATTTAAAAGTAAATTGTACATAATTTATTCTCATGAAAACATACAAGTATCTTCTGTTGCTTTATAAATGGAAAGGAAAATGTATTTCAACAAAATGAGAGATTTGGATGACATCTTGTTTAAAAAATGTTTTCTTCTGGAGCATTGAGCATTTGAACCTTTTTTTAGTGAAGTTTATTTATAATCTAATTTCAAGGGTATTACATGCTTATTATTGACCACGGCTGGCACTGCATTAGCTAGCACACGATTTAGCCCTCAGATAAATCATATCACAGTATAAATAACCTTTGTTATATTCATCTTGAAGAACCACCCTTTCTCTTCCTCCCTTTACCTAGATAAGGTGGTACAGCAGCTCAGTGGTTAGCACTGTTGCCCCACAGCAAGAACGTCCCTGGTTCAAGTCCTTACTAGGCCAGTTGTTGTTTCTGTGCGGAGTTTACATATTCTCCCTGTGCTCCCGTGGGTTTTACTCTGGTTGCTCGGTTTTCTCCCACAGTCCAAAAACATTCGACATAAATGAATTGACTAAACCAAATTGGCACTATAGATGAGCTCATAGTCAGGCTTCTACCGTGCCTTTCAGTGAGCAGTCATCTCTCCATAGCAATCCCTATAGTTTGTTGTAGGTCCTAACTAAACCAGTTGAATTCCTGAGACCTATCTGAGCTCAAACTCCCCTCTCGCCCTTCAAACGGGAAGGAGCCCCAGGCTCAAGGATCTTCTGAGCTCATCGTTCTCTCCCGGGACAGCATGCCAAACATACAGATTTATTATCAATCATCAGCTAAGTTTGAACTCTTGAAATAGTTGTTTAAGTCTCTTATTGACAATGTGAACAGATGGATCTAAAAAATATGCAGTCACTTTTGGAAAGGTTAAATTGTTTAAAAGACACTTCACAACTGAAAAGACTGCATAACATAGATTATTTTTTATTCCTCTGATAAATGGTAGACAGATTAACTGTCAAGACTCATGAACCATCATCACAAAGCAAAAATGTTGTAGATCATCCAGGTAATCTCATACCTTATCAAGAACCAAAGGTTTATAAAGGTTATTTTAATAATTTAAGCTATCTTGTTATCTATATGTTTACATCTTTTATACAAAATATCTTACTTGGGACAGTACTAAAAAAACAAAATCGGGCCTCGGGATGAGTATCCCCAGGTGGAAATAGAGAATAAAGAGAATAATAAGCATAGCTGCTGTTCATAGTGTATATAATTGAGATGCGTGGAGCACATTCATGCATCATACCGCTAAGTGATGCACTGAGTGTATGCTTTACTAAAAAGATGTCTTTAATTTTGAATTGCGAGAGTGTCTGAACCTCGGACATTATCAGGAAGGCTATTCCAGAGTTTAGGGGCCATAAATAAGAAGGCTCGACCCCCTTTACTTGACTTTGTTATTCTAGGTACAACCAAGCCCTGAGTTTTTAGATCTTAAATTGGGTTGAATTGTAGCGAGACGGAAGGTTGGTTAGATAAACAGGAGCTAGTTTATTTAAAGCTTTATAGGTAAGAAGCAATATTTTAAATTCAATACGAAACTTAACAGGCAGCCAGTGTAAGGAGGATAAAATTGGGGTGATTTGATCATATTTTCTAGACCTGGTAAGAACTCTGGCAGCTGCATTTGGTACTAGCTGAAGTTTGCTAATAGAGGATGCTGGGCAGCCAGCAAATACAGCATTGCAGTAATTTAGCCTAGTAGTCATAAAAGCATGGACTAGCTTTTCTGCATCTGAGATGGATAGCATACTTCGTAACTTAGTGATATTTCTCATATGAAAGAAAGCAGTGACATGGGATATATGATTTTCAAAAGTTAAGTTGCACCCAGACACCCAGATCTTTTATAGTAGAGGTAACGCTAACTTTTTTCCCCTCTAATTGCAGGTTAAGTTGTGAGATCTGCTGTGAATAGGATTTAGGTCCAATAAGTAATAATTCTGTTTTGTCAGAGTTTAGGAGGAGGAAATGAGTAGATCATTGGTTATTTTCACTAATGCGGTTTCTGTACTGTGATGAGGCCTGAAACCTGACTGAAACACTTCAAAAACATTGTTCATCTGCAGAAAGGAGCATAATTGGGCAGAAACAACTTTTCTAGTATTTTAGAGATATATGGAAGAATTGAAAAAGGTCTATAATTAGCCAAGTTGCTGGGGTCCAGTTGTGGTTTCTTAATAATAGGCTTAAAAAGAGCATTCTTCAAAAGCATTTTATATGATCTCTCTTATTTTGTTAAAAATATTCACATTTTCTCAGTTTCTGCAAGGGGTTCTTAAACTTTCGCTTAACACTGTACATTAAAATATTTGTTGCTTTGTCCAATATGGCCAAAGTGTTCTGCTTTTAAAAGTTTTCTTCTTTTTTTCTCCAGAAATGCTGGAGCAGTCGCCGTCATTACTAGAGGCAGAGGACATTGAAGACTTGTTCTCTTTAGCGCAGTATTACAACAGCAAGACGCCTCTATCTCTTAGAAAGGTAAGCATTATATCAGTGTTCTTTGGACTGGGTAGTGTTCTGCCAACTTCCTCATGAAATGAATCACCTCACAATAGGTGCATTAATGTTTATGATGCAGCAAAGTGGCATAAGTAAGCAGGTGTTGCATGTATGTATATGTGGTTTATTTTTGTGCAGGAGAACCATAATCTGTTTGGCAGTAGTCTGGTAGCCCTTAAGGAAGAAGACATGGACCTGAGTCAGGCACTCTGTCTGCCTGTGTCAGTCCCTGAGATCCTGCAAGCCAACCAGCTACAACCTGTGAGTTCTCAGTCTACGATAACTGTGAAAGACCACTCCATATCCTCTTTTGTTAGAAATGTTAATGATCAGGGCTCTGTACTAAAGCTGCTATGAAGTTAAGACCTGTTCGCCGCAAGCATAAACTATAAAATATAACATAAATATACAAAATTATAGGTTGGCATAGATTTTTTTTTATCTGGAATAATCTCAGAATTAATCTAGATTAAAATGGCTCTTTTGAATTCCGCCGAAGGCATTCACAATATGTGTGCTACCCAAATGATAAGTCTTTGAGAATGGGTTTCTCAAGCCAGGTGGCGCATTAGACCACAAACTGCTTGAGAAACTGTTCTACTATGATAATTGGTGATGAAAATAAATGATGTTCAATAAGATGTACTTGTGTTTACTAACTGTTTGTTCAGTTAAACATGAATTTTGAACTGTAGGCCTACATTAGCTCAACAGCTAATTTTTATTTATTTATTTATTTTTGATCACCTTAATCCGACTAAAGTCAATACTGAACTGAACAGAAATGGAATTAAGGCATGTGGAGTATGCATATATTAGTGGCATTATTTAAGTAAACACCGCAATCAGTAAACACAGTCATATAGGACTTTTCACCATATTTTCCAATAAGATCCACACATGCGGCTGTCAGTAAAGGACCGCACACACACACATCGCGAAACGCGAGCTTTTTTTTTCTTTCCATTTGGCGTGCATTATTAAATTCCATAATAATTACCAGTCCTTACTCCTTATTTGTGTCTATTACACCAGTTTGTCATGGGGGCATGAATGAAATGTTCATGAGATAAAGTGAAACTGATGAACTGCAGTTAAAGTCGGGTATCCTGCTGATTTAATTCAGTAGGGCACTTTTTTGTCAGCCAGCTTACCGGTCAGGTATACATCCGTGCTAAAACATCAAGGTAAAAGTCATCATAGCTTGCATAGAATAGACCCAGCTCCCATCCCAACTTTGAGAATAGATTAACGGTGAATTTTATTTAGTTATTTTTATCGCGCAATGAGTCTCGCGTTAACGCCGATAACGACCCACCAATAAAAAAAATGATAAAACATAAAATAAAAAATTTATAGAAATATAAAAAAAATCTACCTCCTTGTAACCAGCAGACCAGATCAATGGATTGAAAAAAAAAACTGTATTAAAGGTGCAATATATAAGATTTGCATTTTGTAAACTGTAAATCTGCATCTCATTTCGGAGGCTGCTGCTGTCTTCCAGAGGTTGCATTTTCTGCTGCACATACATATATCGATGCAGCCTTCAAGACTTAAATGAAATACGATGCGTTTTCCACCAAGGCAACCCAGGATGCTAAATTTATTAGGGTAAACTAGCAGTTATAGAGACTAAAACAAAGAGAAACATTTTAACACGGAATACAGATTTTCACAAAGAGAATAACTGACTTTAGCATTTTCAGATAAACAAATAAACTCACTTAGCATATTTCTTAAATATCAGCAAAAATATAGTTATTTTTATGCCTTAGTCAAAAACCTACATACCGCACCTTAAATGTAATTTGCAATGGCTGTGTCCTTAATCGCATACTTTCATTCTATATAGTATGCTAAAAACAGAATGCGAGCTAAGCAGTATGTCTGAATTTATAGAATTTGAAATTAGTATGTGAGAAGTACCTGGATGACCTACTACTTCCAGTGAGATTCTGAAGTGTGCATCTGATGCAGTAGGATGGTTCGCCAGATAATTCATGAATAGGAATAAGTTGATGCAACTCGCATGGGTAGGTCACGTGGTCATGACAAAATGAGCAGATGTTGTACGTTCGAGTTCCATTCATACTGTATAAAACATACTTTCTAACAGTCGTTACATTTGCCGTACATTTAAATTCAAATGCAGTACCTACTGAGTAGTCAGTGGTTTCGGACGCAACCATAGTTTATGTAGTGCAGGGGTGTCAAACTTCCTGGATGGCCATGGCCCTGCATAATTTAGTTTAAAACCTGCTTCAACACACTTTCCTTTAGGTTTCAAACAAGTCTGAATGACTATTAGTTCAGCTTTTTTTAATTAGAGTTAAAGCTAAACTGTGCAAAGATGCATCCCATCAGGAACTTTTTTTTTCCACCTTGACACAAATACAATGTTGTCTGTAGCCTTACGTGAGCCATTTACCTTTCAGTAGATTTGGACTGCGTCAGTGTTTTGGTATCTGTTGTCTGACAAACGATTGCTCTGAAAGTGAGCTCAACCAATTTGTTTTTATGCATGCATTCCATACCACTATAGTTGTGCTCGATTAAGAACGATTTTTAGAACCCTTTCTTGATTGTTGTGCTTGGTATGAACAAACCTAGATTTTTTTCCATAACTTCATGTAAATAGATTTTGATTCACAAATATCAAATACATTTACAAACACAATATTGACTGGCATTAATTTGTAGATCATTTTCTCTGCATTTGTGGTTGTCTTCTTGCATGCCTATTTGATATTTAATACTTCTAGTATCAAGAAGCACACAAATCACGAGTTCACATACATCTAATCAGTTACATTTTGACTTCCGCTCAGGGCTGGAACAAAATTTAGCTGAACAAACACATTTGAATATTTTCAGACTGCACTTAAAATGTATAAACAAAAAAAGTTGGAGTTCAGAGACTATGGTTATTCAGGGAAAATTATGTATATTTATAATCAAACAATAAGATGACCAGTCACCACTAGATCATTTGTTTCAGCATGTGATGCTTTTACAGTGAAGAAAATGCTATGAAATATACATTCTTGTGATTTTATGCTGTTTAGGAGGGTGTCAGATTTTTTGTGGTTGATTGTCGTCCTGCCGAGCAGTACAATGCTGGTCACCTCTCTACTGCCTTTCACCTGGACTCTGACCTGGTAGGAATTTTATTGAGGAGAGATGTTTTAAACAAACACCATTGTATTTGTTTATTGGCCTAATAAGAATTGCTCCTATATAGAGAGATTTTCTTTACCACTGTCTCCTTAATTTTATTTAATATTTTTTGATAATTAGTTGCCTCAGTCATACTAGAATGTCCCATCAGAGCACCAGTAAAAGTGTAGTGGTATGTTTTTGGTTCACAGATGCTTCATAACCCCTCAGAGTTTGCCCTGTCCGTCAAGTCTCTTCTGGAGGCACAGAAGCAGTCTTTGGAGTCTGGCTCTGTGGCCAGTGGAGAGCATTTGTGCTTTATGGGCAGTGGACGTGAAGAGGAGGACATGTACATGAACATGGTGCTTGCCCACTTTCTGCAGGTCAGAACTGCCTCAGCTGCTACATTCAGTTGTTGTGTATGTTTTTATTGAAAGCATTTTGAAGTGTATCAGGTAATTGACAAATGCCTGTAAAATCCATCCATCCATCCATTCTTTTTTTACACTACAGGACAGTTTTGAAACTTGGCTCAAAATGAAAAAATATATAAAAATATATAAAACTAAATGTTTTGTCAAAACAAAACACAAAACACATAAAACATAAAATTTTTTTTATTTTGCTGCATTTTTAATTGACAATACTAACCTAAAATCTTTTTAGTCACGTGTGACTGATAATACAACATCATTTCAACAATTTTTTTGTCAATTAATTATTTGTCTTTCTTTGATTGCTTGTCTAGAAAAACAAAGAGTTTGTGAGTATTGCAAAAGGTGGATTTATGGGTAAGTTCTGTATTTGATTTTTTTTTTTCAAAATAATAATTATGAGAGCCTCTTTATTTTCTTTTGGCAAGAAAGTACAGTAGAACACAAAGATAATTCCAGTATAACAGCTGCAATCAATTAATTAAATAATTGAATGCTTGATTTTGATCATTTCTAAATGTAGAGATCATCAGTTTTGCATTGTGGACAGGAGTTTGATTCTGACTTTTTGTCTTTAATACTCAGCATTGCAGCAGCACCTGGCAGATATTAATGTTGAAGGGCCAGATAACGTTTATGTTCACTGGATTGTGAGTACCTCAGGATCCCACAGCAGCCTCAGCTCAGCAGATGTGAGTTTAGCTTGTGTGTAACGCACTATACATCAAGAGTTTTTGCATTAAATCAGTGTACTCAATACTTGGGTTGTCATGATTGCCATGATTCCAATCATGGTTTTTGGTTTATTTTAGGGATACTTATCTGAAGTTATGTCCATCTTGTTTTTGATCTTACATTTTGAATGTGGAAGCCTTCAAGCATTTCAGTTATTTTAACTGTTAAAGTCATGATGTTGGAAACAAAAAATCTCATTTGACAATTTATCATATTTTGTTGTATTTTTTCCCCCCGTTATATAAATAAACCTATGAATTCATATTTAAACTGAAAGATTCTGAAATCTCATACATGTACAGGATATAACTTGCTTATGTTTTGAACATATCTATATATATATATATATATATATATATATATATATATATATATATATATATAGCTTGATACATATGTCTTCATTTTCGTTGTGGTATTTTGTGCCACCTTTTGAATCTTATGTAAATCAAATCAGAAAAATTTGCAAACTTTTTGTGATAACCGCCAAATACCTTTTTATTCTTTAATTATTTATCTTCCTTAATTCATCCATATTTTACAGGGAGAACTGAACAGCACAGATGGCAAAGGAGTTAAATCACTTGTCAACAAAATGACATTTGCACTCAAGTCAAAGTCAGTCAATGTGAAAGAGAAGGTGATCAGCTTCATTGAAAACACTTCCACACCAGTAGAAAGGTGAGGAAATGCAGTGTTCTTTGCACCCAGACACTACCAAAATTCCTTAATTAAGTTGAATTTTTTTTAAATTCAGGGTGTTAACTGATCAGCTGTCTCTCTCTCTCACTTTCTTTCTCTAACCATGAAGGTTAAATGCTGTTGGATAAAAATGTATTTAAAGTGATTGATCTTTTGAAGCCTTCCTGTTTTAATCATCTTCACAACCTATGCCCTGTTATTTCACACTAGAATGTCTTTCAATCTACCATGGCCAGACAAGGGAATTCTGGAGCGGTAAGACTTCGTTAATGTTTGTCTGTGCCCCACCAGCGCGCATCAAGTTTCTGCAACATGCTCTTTCAAGGTGGCACTTAAAGCTTTAGCTCATTGTAGGGGTTTTAAAACCCAGAGTAAATGACACACTCTAACACCATATGCATCTGCATCACCTGCATTTCTGGATGTCTGTTTGACCTTTTGAATTTGCTGTTTTCTGCTAAAAATTTGAGACTATCATCAGAGTTGAGTAACATTCTAGAATTTGTGGCTGTCATTCACTACCAAACATTCACACGCATGTGTAGTAGAACCACTCGGATTGGTGGAAGCTGTGAATCACCAAAGCCTTCTCATTCCCAAATTTTCACCTTTTTAATTTTGAACCTGTCACAGGACCCATTTGGTGTCGTTATTCATTGTGCAAGGTAGAGTGGCATATGTTGAAAAAAAAAGTACATTGCAATAGTTAACAGATAAAATGAACGGCTCTATTTGGATAAGTTTAGATTGACTTGCATGATTTCTGTATAAAATATAATAAACCACAAGCATCAATTAATACAGTTGTGCAAAGGTACTAATATATAGCAGCATTTATTTAAACAAATTGAATCATCAAATGGTAAATACACTGTATAGTCTTCATTACTAATATGATCATTTCTTGTGCCTAAATACTTTAATCTGTCTTGAAATGCTCACACAGTCACAGACCTTAAAACACATGCAATTGATAAACATTTTGGTTACTTTATGGTTAAACTTTGCTATGAAAAGAAATTGCATATCCTGTGATTTGACAGTTGTGGATGTGCACATTGCGGTATCGATGCAGAGTAAACAGATTTGCTTAAAATATTGCAACGCAAACAATGTTATGGGTGATTTATCAGAGTTCAAAAGAGGACAAATTGTTTGTGTGCATCTCGCTGACACATCTGTGACCAAGACAGCAAGTCTTCGTGATGTATCTAGTGTAATGTCAGCATACCACCAAGAAAGAAGCACTACATCATATTGGTTAAACTTTGCAATTGAAAATACATTGCAGATCCAGTGATGTGACTATTGTGGATGTGCGCATTGTGAAATCAATGCTGAACTGATATGTTGTACAGCCCTAGTGCATTGTGTTCCATTTTTTTCTGTGTAGACGTATTAGGATAGTCTCTAATTCAGTGTAGTTTGATGAGGAACATGAATTATTTTGATATCATGCGCACCCCTAATTCCACCATACAATGGTTGGGGAAACACTACATAAAGCACAGTTTATTTCATTTGTATTTTCTGTTGTATCATATTATTATAATTATTATATATTTATCTGTCTTTGTTACTTATATTTTATCTAGATTCACTCCCTTAAAAATGAAACCTGGTCAACCTAAAATGATGAATTGTCCAAATAGAGCTATTCAAGTCATCTAGAGAAACCATTTTGATATTACAATATATATTGCAGGAAAACAAAATATTGTAATATTAGAAAAAAATGACATTATGCAGCCCTACCAATGGGGTCTTGATCTTGAGAGTGAGAATGGGTTTTGAACCACAGGTCTTTTTGTCCGTGACAATGTTGGCTGCTTTCTTACACTGCATCTGTCACTATGTACCTTTCCTAGTTTTACGCCAGAAGTTTCTGTCTCGCAGGCTGAAGTCTGGTTGAAGTCTGCTGTCTGAGTCCTCTTTGATTCCCTTAGGGAGACTGCAGTCCTGTCTTTGTTGTACTGTTTTGAGCACAGCTGTAGAAGGCTGGGGCAATTGTGACTTAAACCGTTTGCAGTAAAATCGACTGCAAAGTACCTGGTCTTCCACATGTTGCTTCTCATTTCAGTTAAAATGCAAACATCCTAACCTCCCTTTCTTTCAACTAACAGTACTCGCCGTTCTAATCCTAGAGGACTCGTCATCTCATTGCCATGCTCCTTCAATTGCCTATATCATGAAAAACAAGACAATTCTGGTTGGAAATCTTATTTATTTATTTTTATTCAGGCATGTAAGTAGCAGTGATCGAGTGGGGAAACCATACAGGGGTGTCAAGCCTGTCTTCAGCATTGGAGATGAGGAAGAGTATGATACAGGTAGATACCATGTCCTTCATCAGGGGTGCTCAAACTGCAGAGCTGCTATTAACCAGAGATAAGCTGGTTTTTGATTTAGTGTTTGAAAGGGGCATGGGTTGCTATAAGATTCTAACGGGACGATAACCTGTGATAAAAATACCACAGCTTCATGGTTTTGTGATTACTGCTCCAAAATATATTCTTTTTCAATGTCTGGGTAAAAAACAAAAACAAGAACTTTTTCTTTTCGCTTTGAACACAATGGCTGCATCCGAAATTGCATACTTAAATACTTTATAGTACAATAAAATCAGTATGTGAGCTGAATAGCAAGTCCGAATTCATAGAATTGGAAAAACAGTGTGTGATAAGTACCCAAATGACTACTAGATTCTGAGTGCGCCTCCGATGGACTCTTTGCTATCCCATGATACATCCCGGGAGAATGAATGGGAGTAAAGGGGTTGTGTCAAATGATGATGACAAAATGGCATCTGTCTGAGCTTCATTCATACTGTATAGAATCTACTTTTATATCGGTCGAGTAGTACATTCAAATTCAAATGCAGTACCTACTGAGTAGTAGTTGATTTTGGACGCAGCCAATATATATTATTTTGGGAAACATTTGAAATATTTTGGAGCATAAAACATCTCAGTCTAAATCTTTGAAATGAATCTGCTGTCTTCATTACTTTCAAAAACACAGATTTCTCTAAAATTTAAAACAAAAAGCGACAAAAAAAAGAAAAAAAAAAGAAAAAAAAAAGAAATCTAACATGTACCTTGTGTAGCGGTATAACAGAAAATGTTGGCGGTTTGAAAACCTTGACTTTTCCAGACCATGGTATACCTTCATAATGGTTACCGTCCCATGCCTAGTTTGAAATAACTTTGCTGCATATATTGTTAATGAATATCAATATAAAACAACATCTGATAGGCTACAGCAGTTGTTCTCAACCATCCTCCACAGTTTTCATATTTTGCACTTTGCCATGAAGTGTTCTGTGCTGCCAGACCAAGTGGAATTTGTCGTCAGATGCCATTTTGGATTTTGTTTGTGTGGTGGCTCTAAACTTTCACCTAATTGTACCTCTCAAAAAAAACATGGTACAGATGCGAGAAATTATATTTTAATGATGGATGAAAGGCTGTGTGTGAATGGGATTGACACAACATGAGGATATTTCATATCAACATTTGGGATTCTGTGTGCAATGATAAACTACACTTATATACTGTATAGTCTCTAAGTTTGTGTTTCCTTCTCTGCTTTTAGATGAGATTGATAGTTCATCCATATCAGATGATGACAGGAAAGAGATTGTTAATATTCAGACTTGGATCAACAAACCAGATGTAAAGCACCACATTCCTTGCAATGAGGTTAAGGAGACTGGCCACATGTTTCCAAGGTGAGGCTGTCTATCCGAACCACATCGTGCTCAAATATAATTGACAATACCAGAAGATACTAGATAGCAGAATACTATTGGATTAAAAAATTGTTACCCAATCAAAAGCGAAGACCGTCCAGTTGATAGATGTTTAATGTGTCGCATATATTAGGGTGGGTAATTTCATTATTTTGTCTTCCACAGTCATCTGCTGATCACCGCAACACACATGTACTGTTTGAGAGAGATCGCTGCTCGGAAGGGTTTTGCTTACATCCAGTCCAGACAGGCACTAAACTCTGTTGTGAAGATCACCTCCAAGAAGAAACATCCAGAGCTAATCACATTTAAATTTGGCAACAACAATGCTGCAGGAGTGGAGATTGTGGCTGTGGAGAGGTATGGGGAATGTATTTCAAGCAGCATTTACAAATTTTTTTTTTGGACCAGTATTACAGTACTGTTAAAATATGGAAGTATAGTTTTATATATATATATATATTTTTTTTTTTTTTCACGGACCCTTGCAGGCCCCCATGGGATTTATGTTGGAAGGGAATTATTATTCCTCCTGTGAAAAAAAAAAATTACTTAAAAAAATTTTCTTAATGGATGTTTAACAGAGCAAAGAAATGTTCACAGCATTCCCTATGTTATTTGTTTTATTTGATTAATTCAGGCTGGAATAAAAATGTTTTTGTTAAATAAAAAAAAAGATTTAACATATTTTTTTAGCCCCCTTTAGATTTGTTTTTTGATTGCTACAGAACAAACCACTGTTGAAATCGTATTTGCCTAGTTATTCTAATTAATCTTAAGCCATTAAATTGCATTTTAAAATCACTAGTATCTAGAAAAAGAACTAGTCAAATCATCTACTCGTTTCATGGCAAGACAACAGAAACCTGCTATTAAAACTATTATATCTAAAATATGTTTTTCCTCCAAACATCTAATAATTTAACAGCGAGGAAATATTTTAAAAATAATGAAACATTAGGGCAACGCAGTGGCGTAGTAGGTAGTGCTGTTGCCTCGCAGCAAGAAAGGTCGCTGGTTCGACCCTCGGCTGGTTCAGTTGGCATTTCTATGTGGAATTTGCATGTTCTCCCTGCACTTGCATGAATTTTCTCCAGGTGCTCTAGTTTTCCCCCACAAGTCCAAAGACGTGTGGTATAGGTGAATTGGGTAAGCTAAATTGTCCGTAGTGTTTGACTGTGAATGGATGTTTCCGAGTGATGGATTGAGGCTGGAAGGACATTCGCTGTGTAAAAACGTGCTGGATAAGTTGGAATTTCATTCCTCTGTGGCGACCCCAGATTAATAAAGGGACTAAGCCAAAAAGAAATTTAATGAATGAATGAATGAATGAAACATTTCAGAGAAGGGGAAATAATGTTGTCTTCAACTGTCCCATGATTACTTCTTCAGTTTAATTTTTAATAATTTAATTGGAAAAGTCCTTTTTTTAATATTACATGTTTTAAGTTTTAATGTAGGTTTTGTTTCTTAATTTGTTACTTTTTTAACTGTATGTAGAATGTCACATCATCTGAAATGTGTAGGGTTTGTATGTAGGACAATATTTGAAAATATAAAAAAAAATCACCTTTAAAGTTGTCTAACAATCTGTATATTACTACTAAAGTTTTTATCTATTTTTATTCATTCATTTTCTTGTCGGCTTAGTCCCTTTATTAATCCGGGGTCGCCACAGCAGAATGAACGGCCAACTTATCCAGCAAGTTTTTACGCAGCAGATACCCTTCTAGACGCAACCCATCTCTGGGAAACATCCACACGCACACACACACACACACTACGGACAATTTAGCCTACCCAATTCACCTGTATCGCATGTCTTTGGACTGTGGGGGAAACCGGAGCACCTGGAAGAAACCCTTGCAAAGGCATTGAGAACATGCCAACTCCACACAGAAATGCCAACTGAGCTGAGGTTAGAACCAGCGACCTTCTTGCTGTGAGGCGACAGCACTACCTACTGCGCCACTGCCTCGCCCTATTTTTATTTGGATGTTTAATTTTTTCAGGGAACTTTACTTTGATTTTTCTTTTTTCAAAATAACATCCTAGATCTAAATGAATGAAACGTTAATAAATACTTATTTCTTTACATAATTGCTGAAAACAAAATCACACAAACAATATCAATAGAAATCAAATTTATTAACCCATGGAGGTCTGCATTTGGAGTCACACTCAACATTAAAGCAGAAAAACACACTACAGGCTGATCCTACTTTGTCTTTTGATATAGTGCTTCCTAAGTGGGTTGTTTGATTTCACAGAAGTGTTATGTACTTGTAGTTACATTGTGTTGTTTAAGTGTTCCCTATATATTTCTTAACAGTGTACATTACTAAATGTACAAATAACACATGCTGCATAATTCTATTTATTAATCCTATTTATTAGATTATACTGTAGAAGGTCTGTGCTGCTCGTATTTTGATGTGTAAAAAAACCTCAGTTAAGTTTTTATTATTGTTTTTTACATTTCGTATTGTTTTTCCCCAGGTATTTAATTCCAAATGCCGGCGATGCCACTAAAGTCATCAAACAGCAAATCATGAAAGTGTTGGATGCTCTGGAGAGCTCTTAGAAACATGAGCGGCACTTCGGTCTGGTCCTCCAGGAGTCCACCGTGTCTCCAACAGAAACAGCCTGCAGGGGAAGGAGGAAGTAAAGCATTCCTACACTGTTTTTGGTCATCATCTCCTCCATGGGCAGCACTGATGTGGAGGTCTGTCAGGACTCTTTGAGCTCATCACCAACATGACTGATAGGAGCTCTCAAACTTTGGCTGTGAGCCTTCAATAGAAATGGTTTGGTTCATTTTTGCTTTGTGATTTCATTTTCTTGAAACTGACCTAAAGCAAGTTAGATTTGTTATGTCTCTTTTTCCGTCTCAAGCCTTAATGATGCTTTTTATATGAGTCTCAAACAGGCCCCCTGGGTGAGAAAAAAAATGGTTTTGGAACCTCAAGCAAGGAACCTGCATCAATTATTGAGGTCACTAATTGTTTTGCCATCATATATTGCTGCATACTCATGTAACATATTTATCAAAGCAGTGTTTGTTTTTACACAAAGCAAATTCATCGGGAGCCTTGTCAACAGGCATCGAGGTGAACATATGTAAATGCTTCATATATATATATTTCTTTTTGGAAAGGATGCAACCCTTCAGGATGTTGCTTTGCACAAGAGGCTGCACAAGCGTGATGCATAGACTTCCATTTAACTCTGCTGCTGACTCACTAAAATGCCCAGAAATGGTTATAAGCTCTTGTTGGAGCACCTGTCACTTTTAGGTTCCATCAAGTTGTTGCAGCATTAAAAGATTAAAGGGAACGCGTTGATCAGACAGTGACCGTAAAAAGGACCTTATCCAACTTGCGGGCAAGTACCAGAGAATGTATTGTGAAAGAGAAGCTGGAGAGTAAAATGAGGTGGAACGGCTTCTATTGAAAGTAAATTGAGTATTCCAAAAAAAAAAGTGTCCATCAAAAATAAATGCACAGTATCAAATGATCTATACACAAGAGGTTGCAGGAGTGAAAAGGGAGCGTGTTTGGAACATTTTTGGTATTCGGTTGATCACGCTGTTCTCAAATTGCAAATGAAAATAGTATTTATTTAAAACACCCTGTACATTACTAAGAGGTTCAGAAGACCATGCCTAACGACACAATCTCCCATTTAAATGAATCAAATGAGGTCCACCGTGTCTGACTGTTTCAATAAAATCTGTTGATTGATATAAATGTACAAAAAACAGGGCTGACTGATATTTGTTTTATTTTTGTTTATATCAAAATAAGTACATTGCAACATATTTACAAGAATTCCTTATTAATAGTTTGAAAAACAATTAAGTTGGCAAATGAAAGTGAAATAAAAAACAAAAACTGTACAATATTGCCGCTTATGAGAATCAAGTGAATTAGAAATTTGTTAAAAAAAAAAAAATACTGACGCCACATGTTCAAACACACCGGCTAATGTCAATCACTTGTATACTTTAAGGCCAGTAAACAGCAGTTCATGATATTCAATGCAATACTTACACACTGCAGGTCAATAGTAATCTCAGTGTTCACATAGTAGATACAAAGAAGGGTTTACAGTAGTACATAGAGGCTACATCTTACACCAAACATAAACATGGATGAATAACACTTTCTGCAAAAAATAAACCATGTGCGAATTGAAATACATACAATCAAAACTGACAGTCAAGTGTTTTTTTTTTTTAAAATGACATTGTTCAACCGCAAGGAATGATCGTAAGAACAAAGCGTACAATTAACACTAAAGCTCCTGCTGAGAGACGAACGCTGTATACAAACAAACAAAGAACAGTAACATATAGAAATATACCTTTGGCCATGTTTAAAACAAAGGAAAAGCCCAGCTGTTGAGTGTGTATTCTGCGAGTGGAAACATGTCAGCATTTCTTAAGTGCTCTGTCTCGAGAAACAGGAAAAAAAATGACAGCACAATTTAGCAAAGCACCATTTCCCCTCAGCCAGAGCTGCTTGCGGTCCAAAAAAAAAAGTAGGAGGGTCTTGAAATGACATCCAGATAAATTCATCAGAAGCAAAATGAAACTATAAAAGGACTTAAGTGCATTTGATCTGCCCGTTTAAGTGAACTAGACTATGAGGCTCACAGCTTTTTTTTTTTCTTTTCTTTTTTGAAATCATCACTTGCAGAAGAAACCTGTGAAACGATCTGGACCAACACCAAGTGTGTTTCTATAAAACAGAGCGCGCATGTGTGTGTGTGTGTACAGTAAATGTGCACTGTTGTTGTATTGTGTACAGTCATGTACTCTGTTCATTCTCCTTCCTCCTTGATGCGCTGCTGCTTGTTGCGGCGTGAATCAGGGGCCAGATCGAAGGAGAAATCGGTCCAGTCATCCCGCGGAGGGAAGGAGATGGTCTGACGGAGGGTGAAGCGCACGGCGTCGATCACGCGCTCGCCTCGGGCTTCAGTGGAGCCCACGCTGACAGTGGATGTCCCGCTAGAGGTGCGCAAGATGTGGGGAGGGGGAGAAAACTCCATGGTCTGCCGGTACTCCATGATGCCTTTCCAGATGATGTGCTGGAATTCTGTGGGGATCTTCAGCCTGGACAAGTCCTGTGGATAAACAGACCACAGAGCTCATGAATACAGCAGCCGCTGCTCTCATCTCTCACACACACATCTGCCTGGGTTAAAGCAAACACACTTTATTATGTAAACCATTCAATGATGGAATGTTTTACATAATGACATGAAATAATTGAAAAAAATGTATGTGATTAACATAAATCCCTGATATTATTTTTGTTGTTGCTGTTTTTAATATATATATATATATATATATATATATATATATATATATATATATATATATATATATATATATATTAATTAACATTAGTAACAGAATATATAAACCTTAATTTGCACTAATATAGTGAGGCCTGAATACAAAGGATACATATTCATTGTACAGCTATTTACACAAATAATACAAAGGATAAGAAAAAAACATAAAAAAAAACATAAATATCTCAAACCATAAGTAAATTATTAAGCGTTACATAGGCGTAGCAAATGAGAATATTTTTTTTCAGCAGTTCAGTTGTTTCAGCAGCTTTCCAATTTAACGATAACAATACAAAATGTTCTAAAATTAAGCAAAAATCCCTGATATTCTGTGACTTGGACAAAAAGCAAAATCCCTATCAATGTCTAAACAAGAACTTTTAAAAACTGACATTCTATACTTTTCATCATCATTCAGCGATATACATTTAGAGATAAACTTATGTTGGTAAATTTAGGTATATACCAAATGTAAAAGGTCTTAGAAAATTAAATTTTTTTTAATGTAATAAAATGAATCATTATTACAAAGAATTTTCGGTCAAGTGAATCCAGAATTTTCAGTTTCGACCCAGATTTGTAATTTGAGCGCATCCTAATTAAGATTAATCAAGTTTAATGTTGTGAATGTAGCAATATTTTAAACAGACTGCTCACAATGTCACATTCAAATTCATGTGGCCAACCTGAACCACGTCAAATTTGCATGTGAAAATATTTTGCCCTGAGGTGAAATTGCCATTTGTTTCATTAAAGACAAGATTATTTAAAAAAAAAGTTATTAAACTTAACAGTTTAATATGCTTATAAGCAGTACTTAATTCCAGAGCTGGATCGTGTTCCGGAAATGTCATATATTCATGTTTTGCGTTCCACTACTTATTTTAATGGATCCGGCATTTACTTATGTTTTTTGTGTGTGTGTGTGTGTGTGTGTGTGTGAGAGAGAGAGAGAGAGAGAGAGAGAGAGAAGGCTGTGTGGATTGTGTGTGCTTCACCATGCGCAAGTTAAAGCAAAAGTCACGTTAAACTATTGGCCCTCGACATAATTTTTCAGCCAATCAGCTTATGTTTACAATCACTCTTATTGGTTGGTGATAGTTTCGCACACAGTGAGCAGCGAAAATAAATAATGGCAGTGTGGCCTACCTAAATAATATTTGTATTTTCAAAATGGCAGAGTCACGCATTTTATTTTTTTAAAACCACGAGTAAATCTGATTATGAGTGTGAACTGAATAGTGATTGTTTATATGTTTGTAGCTGCATGTTTTTATTATCCATGACTGACCTATAATGTTATATGGCACAAAATAACTAAAGACCATTCAGAAATGTGATGATCCTTTGCGCTATCACTGTTTAATGGCGTCATGTTCTGGAAAAACTGAAATTGTTTGGTGGATGTCAGTCACAGTAAATTTTATTTCCTACTTTTGTTCCGGGAATTATTCATTTACAAATTAAGCTCTGCTTAAAAGTGAGTGCATACTATAGTAATCAATTCTATGCAATTTTGGACCTGAGATCTGAACTGATGCAAAAGACAGTAAGAGTAAGGCAAATTCCTCACCTCTAAGTTATAATTCTCAATCTGGTAGATATTGGTCAGTCCTTGGGCTGTGAAATAGTCCAAACAGGCCGAGCAGCCCAGCCTCAACAGGAAACTGCAAATGAAAGAGATTCCAGATTAAACCAGGATTACAATAACGCCATTTAACATCAACTTAAATACCACTCCAGAGAGACTTACTGCGTACCTGGAAATGCTGTTGTCCATCGGGTAGGGTGGTGGAGGTGTGCAGTGGGATGAAGGCACCATTTGTAACTGTGACTGGAGGGGGTTGTTGGGGCTCAAGGAGCTCAGGTCTGTGTTCATAGGAACAGGGCCACCCATCATAGGAGGGGTCACTGAAGGAAGGGGAAAGGGTTGAGACTGTAATAAACCTCAGAAAAGGGGAAATAAAACGGTAACACTTTACAATGTGGTTCAATGCATTATGAACCAACAATGAGAAATACTTTTACAGCATAATAATCTTTGCTCATTCATTGCACTTTAAGACATTTCAAATGCTTTACAATGAGCCAATAGGAATTAACGTTGAGTGTTAAATAAAGTGTTGCATCATTCAAAATTTGCTTTAATTTTTTTCCTTTTTGCTTTACATTTGGTTGAACTGTAATACTTCAAAATATTATTGCAACGGAAAATAACTTCTATTAATATATGTGACCGTGGACCACAAAACCACTCGTTGAACATGAAAAAATAAAAATAAAAGCAATGTAGGGGTCAAGCATCAATAATCAGTGAAATATTAAGTAAAGATCATGTTCCATCAAGATATTTAATACAATTCCAATTGTAAACACATCAACTTCATTATTGCTAATTTGCATTTAAAGGTGATTTTCACAGTACTTGGGTTTTTGACACCTCTGATTCCAAATATTTTATCTCGGACAAATATCCTAACAAACCACACACCAGTAGAAAACACAATTATTTAAGGTGATGTAGAAATCTTTTGATTGGTTTTGTGGCGCAGGTTCACATATTTAAAATGTAAGCTCAATGTTTTTTGTGAGTAAAAGCTGTATTTTTTTATTCGGTTTGAATGTCAAATGATCCTTTATCATTCTAGATGCTGATTCATTCCAAATGCTTTAATTGCGAGCAGTGATGAACCTTATTGTAAAGTGTTATCAATAAAAAGCATGCAATATTTCCTTGTCCCCAACCCATCCCTCACTGATAACGGCTGAATCAACAAACACCCGAGGGCACTAAATACTGATAAGGAGATTTCAGAAGTCAAGAAAACCTGAGGCACATTTCACACAAGAGAAAGCATTTTTGTCATATCCTAGTACATTTTGACAGCACAAGTGTGCCGTGGGGAAGGTGAATTGTCCCACAAAGATCTGGTTCAAAACTGTCTGTCAGAGTGACATTGAGAAATGAGAATTCCTCAAGCCCAGACGAGACTAGGAGAAAGGGGTCTCCATCAAGAAAAATGAGCACCAGAAATGTCTTCATTTAGAAGATCTTTGGACATTGTGGTGGGTTGGTGGAGAGATTGTGCACATCTACTTATCGAATGATTATGGAGCGAGCTCTTACTGTCAGTGAGTCCTCCTGGCATGCCGGATGGGGTGAGAGCGTTGCGCTGTTGGGGGTTGATGAGTTGACTGACAGAGGGCAGTTTGTTCTTGCCGAGGGTGGGCGAGCTGGAGCCGAATGCAGGCTGGGGTGGCAGAGAGCTCCTGAGGGAAAGATAACCACACGCGTTCTCATACTGCCAACGGAAAATTGCCTTAAATTATAGACAATGTCCATTACTGAAACTGTCCGTTTCTGATGCCAAGGGACTTCATGTAGATTTGCTAGAAATG